CCCCTAACGTTTTTCCTTTTGGGGCCGTTTTTTTTTTTTTTTTTTTTTGGTTGGAAAAAAAAAAAAAAAAAAAAAAAAAAAAATGCGCAACAGGCAATAGAGTTTTTTGGGTTAAAATAGTAAAATGTCCGCGCTCCTCCCCCTATTTTCATCATCATCTTTTTATCTCATCGAATGTGAAAAAAAAGGGGAAAGTGGAATTTTTGATTGATTTAGTTTTTGATTTTTTTCTTCTGTTATCTTGGATATTTGATTTGATTTGAAAGTTTGTTTTTTTTTCTGTGAGGCGACATTAAGTCGCCACAAACATAAATCTCATAACAATAATAACATTCTCACGGCTAGGAAATTGAAATTGTAAATGTTTTTTTTTGTTTTGTTTGGAAAATTAACAGGAATTTTTGGAACCAACAAAAAACAACAACATAAATTTTGTATTTTTGATGAGAAAAATTTCACAATAAAGAATTTGGTTGAATCGAAATACAATGTTTTTACGCAATCCAATTAAAGGAAAAAAAACACGAAAAAAATGAATCATATCGGATTACAAACAAACAAACAAAGCAAGCAATTAAATTGTTTGGATCAGGAATGTTTTTCTGCTGATCTTTGTATGATTACTTCCTGTACAATTCTTTTAAGAATAATTTTTTTTTGCTTTGAAGAAGCATTTTGCCTTCTGTTTTTGTCAATTTAAAAGGCTAGAAAAGACAGTTTCAGCTAAAATGATGATGGATTGGGCAAGCATTTGTTCGACAATATTCTTGACTTTTTTTTGGTTTTGTTTTTTAATGAGTAAAAAAATTCTTAAAAACAACGGTTGGTCGTCAATTTTTTTTTGGGAACTATTTTGACATGACCAGCAATTTTTTTCTTGTTATTGTTGTTGTTGACTATTTCCACTTTTCTGTTTCTAATTTAGAATCATTCGATTTTTTTTTCTGTTTTTGCTTTTGTTTTTTGGTTGATGAAATTATATCCGTTTTTTTTGAAAGAAAAAACTACCAAAAACAAAATGAAATTCTTTGACTTTTCGATTCATTCATTGATTCAAATGATAATTTAATGGTCTGTTTACAATCAACATTAACCATATAATAATGATTTTATGAATAAAAAAAAAGTATCTTGTTTGTCGTCTTTGTCGTTGTCATTGTCGTCATTATCATCATCATCATCATTGATTCGTCTTTGTTGTTATTGTTATTGTTTGTACATAATTCAAGCTCAAAACCATATTAATGATGATAATTTTCAACTTTTACAATTGACAACAACCTAAACAATGAGGTAAAAAGAATAATAACAATAATAATATCTAACTTGAAATTAAGACAACAAAACGAATCTTTACATTCACAATATTAATGTTTTTTTGTTTGTTGTTTCGTTAACAGTTTCTTAACGCCATCCGAATATTGAATTCCGTGAATGATTCTATCTTTGTATCTATGAATGACAGCCAAAAAACGAAAGAAAAAAACGAAAACAGACAGCCAGCCATAGAAGAATTGTCGCGTCAGGATAATAATAATAACAACAACAACAACGAATTAAATGTTTGTTATGCAATGTACATGTAAGAATATTCTTACTTTCTTTTTTAAACCATAAATATTATCATCATTTACCACCTTTTTTTTCTCTAGGTTAACTTTGTCATCATCATCATTTTTTTTTTTTGATTTATTTGACTTTATCGAAACAGAAAAAAATGGACAAATTTAAATTTAAACTGACTTGAACCGAAAGTCATAACCCGTTGGAAACACAAAGTAAAAATAAAAGGGGAAAAAAATGTCTGTAACAAGAATCAAAAACAAAAAAATCGAACGTTTGCGAAAATTGTCTGCGTTGAATACGCAATTAAGAAGAATATTCATTACGGAAATCTTCATATTAAGTTTTTGTTTTGTTAAAAGAAAAAATTGTCTGACACATAATCGTCGTTCTTTAGCCCTTTTTTTGTTAATGTTTTTTATTTGCGTTGGCTGATTCATGATTTTTTTTTCATCATTGTGAGTGAGTGTAAATCATCTAAATTTAAGCATCTTTAAAACGTTTCATAGTGTTTTGCAGGTATATTCATCAATATATAGCTCATTTAACTTTCATTGAATCAATTAATTTTGAATTTCTATTTTTCTATTTTCATATCTTTTTTAGAAAACTTAAAAGTTCAAAACAACAATGACAACTTTATTTTTTGTTGAAAAACAAAATTCTGTGAATGAATCAAATTCTTGTAAAAAAAATAAGATCAGTTGCCAAGAAAAAAAGGCAAAACAAAACCAATATCATTGTGAACAGAAGTGAGAAATGAAACAAGCAACAACAACAACAANTTTTTAAACCAAAAATTTCATCATCATTTACCCCCTTTTTCTCTAGGTTAACTTTGTCATCATCATCATTTTTTTTTTTTTTTGATTTATTTGACTTTATCGAAACAGAAAAATGGACAAATTTAAATTTAAACTGACTTGAACCGAAAGTCATAACCCGTTTGAAACACAAAGTAAAAATAAAAGGGGAAAAAAATGTCTGTAACAAGAATCAGAAAAAAATCGAACGTTTGCGAAAATTGTCTGTGTCGAATACGCAATTAAAAAAAAGAAAAGAATATTCATTACGGAAATCTTTATATTACGTTTTTTTGTTTTCGTTAAATGAAGGAAAGAGAAAATTGTCTGACACATAATCGTCGTTCTTTAGCCCTTTTTTTTCGTCGTAATGTTTTTTATTTGCGTTGGCTGATTCATGATTTTTTTTCATCATTGTGAGTGAGTGTAAATCATCTAAATTTAAGCATCTTTAGAAACGTAAGTGTTTTGCAGGTATTCATTCATCAATATATAGCTCATTTAACTTTCATTGAATCAATTAATTTTGAATTTTTTCTTTTTCTATTTTCAAATCTTTTTTAGAAAACTTAAAAGTTCAAAACAACAATGACAACTTTCTTTTGCTAAAAAACAAAATTCTGTGAATGAATCAAATTCTTGTAAAAAAAATAAGATCAGTTGCCAAGAAAAAAAAAGGCAAAACAAAACCAATATCATTGTGAACAGAAGTGAGAAATGAAACAAGCAACAACAACAACAAAAATATGGCTAGACAAATTTAATGATCAACCCTTTTGCTATTCCTGTTCAAAAAACAAAAAAAATTTGAATCATCATCATAATTTGTGTATGTGTGTGTTATATATGGATAAATAATGATGAACAACATCTATTAATGTAAATTAATTTGTAATCAAATCTTATAATAATGAACATCCACATTATTATCAATATTTAAAGAATCTATTTTCAAAACGATTTAGGACGCTCTCATTAAGTGTGATGATGATGATGATCAAAGAAGAATATTATGACAATCAATTAGCATAAGTAAAAGTAAGTAAAAAATATTCATGAGATTTATGAAATAATAATGATTGTTACATTTTAATGTTTGTCGTATTTTTTACAACAACAACAACAACCCACTCATTCATTCATTCATTCATTCATTCATTTTTTTATTTACAAATACATTTTATTGTTTAACAAAAAGCATTTATAAAATGAATGAATGGTTGAATGGATGGATAGATGGATGATAAAAGAGAGAGAGAAAAGGGTTATCACCATCCCATGTAGAAGCTACATAAAAAAGCTTATCTTATCTCTGTATACGAATTCTGTTTTCAACAACAACAACAGCAACAATCATTAACCCTTAAAATATAAGGTGATTATTATTATTATTGTTTTCTCATGAATTTATTATTATTAATAAAAAACTTTTTTTGTTTTGTTTTTTGTAGCCAGAAAATCATTTAAATTTGATTGATCAACGAATTGAAAAGATTGGCCGATTAGCAAGTGGAAAATCGAAAGGGTTTTTGTCATGATCATTATTACTACATTATTACAAGCAAGCAAAAAATGATCAACAGGTTGAAGCAAATTATTTTATCATCATTTGATTGGACAAATATTTTTAAAGAAAATTCTTTCACTCATTAATGCTGCTCTAATTTGAGTTTTATCACTCTCTCTTTCTCTCTCTCCAATCAATCATTCTGTATAGCAAGAGTAAATGAAAGATTTAAAAATGATCATCATCAGTTCAACATTGTCACACACACATTAAACGACATGACAAACAAAAACAACAAATCTTCGAACCAGTTGAACACGTAATTCTTTATATCGAAAAAAACAAAATGATTCCTGTTTTGTAATTAAGAGAAAATGTACCTGTATCACATCATACTTTATTTCTTAAAGTTAGACAACTATTTTGGTTGCCGATAATCAAGTTCATTGAATCGATTATTATTATCAATCAACCCAATGATGATCATCAAAGACTGGTTTCATGGTCGAAATCAATCGATTGATTTATTCGATCCGTTCAACTTTTTTTCTTTTGAATAACCCTTTCATCTTATACATCATTATCATCATCATCATCATCATCATAAGCAGACAAACTTGGATTTTCTTTTAAGAAAGAAAAGAAAAAACAACAACAAAAGTTTGCGTAGGGAGCAATGGATTACTTTTTTTTTCACATTTTTGGTTTTTGGAAAGAGAAAAAAACAACAAAACAAAATCTTTTGAACAAAATGAAAAGATTACTCTCTAGACATTTGGGGGAAAAAAAAGAAAATCGTGATTTGTAATGGAAAATTCATCATCGTCTTAAAAAACAAAAAATTGTTTGCTGTCAATCATCATCTTTGTCGACATATTAGATAAAAGTGAAAGGAATATTTGGCCGAATAAAAAGAGAGACTGGATATTGTTCTTAGATCAATTTGAAACAATGTTGTAAAAAAAAATTACCGCTGAAAATTTTTGAAAAAAAATGAAATAATTCACAAACATCTAGATAATCGTATTAAAAACGAAAAAAAACTTGAAACAAATCAATCTCAAATGTTAAAATATCGCTAGATAATTGCATGGGAATGATCATAAACTGATTTGATTGATCAAATCAATTGATTTGATTGATCAAATCAATTGATTATTTTCTCTAAATTGATAATTGGGCCATTCGAAAACGAATCGATTTTCATTGCATTCAACAACTATATTGATTAAAGATCGGGGTGAAAAAAAAGAGAGAAAAACGAAACAACGAGGTAATTCCCATGAATGATTGAATCATTATTGAATGTCTATTATCTTGATGATGATGATTATGTCACGTTTTTTTGGCTCACTCTGTTGATTGCGCCAATCGATTGGACACCTTTTTTTTCTCTCTCAATTCGATCCGATATCAAAATATCGGAAATTAAAGTAATAGTTATCGATTTTAAACAGCCAAAATAAAAAGAAAATTTGTCTAGTATTTATTATTACGACATCATCATCAATATTTCAGGCTTCATGTACTGAACAACAAAAAAAAACCTGAATTTTTTCTTTCTTCAAAAAAATATCATTAATCCTTTTCAAGCCAAAACTTTAAACCAGGTAAACCGTTTGATTGAATGAAGAAAATTAATGATTATTTAACCCTTTTTTCCCTATGAAAAAACATGGCTTGCCATCATTTTTGATGATATTCAAATTCAATTATTATTTTTTTATTATGCAATATTTTCATTATTGTGAATGTGAAGATTGACCATTGATGATGATTACCAGGCAAAGAAATTCGTGATTTATTATCCGATGATTCGTGTATCGATGGAATTTGGATTTCCAATGGTCAATGAACTTTTCCTTTTTTTTTGCATTATTAATTCAAAGAATACAGAATTTTATCGAAAAATTCTTTTATTTAATTACTTCAAATTGTCATCATCATTGACAAGAGAAAGCGAAAGTGGATATAAAAGTTCATAAAAATAAATGAATCCATTTTGAATTTTGAGAATCATGAACATCAAACGAAAGAGAAAACGATAAGCTCCAAAATAAACCAGTCTCTCTCACAGTATGTCTTTTTTCTCCGTGTGATGATAATATTATGGTGGTCGTCATTTAGCCTGGTCATTTTTTTTAAAAAGATGCCGGGCGTTTATATTACGCCACCATCAAACACACATCCAAAGAAATCACTCTCTTTTATTCAAAGTAATCGGGAGTCATCATCATCCATTGGAAAAAAACAAAAATAAATGATTCTCATGTGATGACTATTTTATTTTCTTAGTTAAGAAGTTTTTTTCTTTCTTTTTTTTCATTAAAAGTTACCTGGTTAGTTTTTTTGTTGTTTGTTTTTTTGGTTTTGGTTTTGCCAAAACGTTTTTTCGTCCAAACTAAACTTGAATTCTGATTTTTCTTAATTATTTTCAAAGAGTTTTTTTGTTTTTGTTTTTGTTGTTTTTGTTTGATGGTGGTCAGTAATCAATTTTTCAACATTAAAATCATATCGATATTTCGACTTTCAAGAAAGAAATTAATTCATTTTTCAAGATTGAATTAATTCTATCTGTAGGTATGTTTTTTAACAATAAAACACCTGATAACATTGTTTCTCTCTTTTCAGATCAACTTGGTAAGAAAATAACAATGTTGGCAGCGGCCACACACTCCTTTGGAAAAACAAAATTTTTAATTAATTAATTAATGAGATGAACATTATTCTACTAGGTAGGTCATAAAATTTTTTTTTGTTATGAACTGTGGGCATCTTTTACTATCGAAAAAAAAGTTGAGATTTTTATAGAAAACTATTAGAAGAAAACAGAAAATGTCAATGTCCAATCAAAGGGCAAAAAATGATCATTAAAAAAAAGCAAAAGAATTTACCTATGTGACCTGTGTAAAATGAACGGGAAAAAAACATTTTTCCGTCCGTTTTTTTATATATTTTGCATTCCGAAAACATTTATGAATCGGACATCCGTTTAAGAAAGTTCATTAACATCTTTCGAGTTATTTTCAATAACAAAAAAAAAAAATGAAATTACCTGAGCATATGATCATCAATCTTTTGAACAAAATTTTTGTTTTGAATCAAATCAAATCATCATCATCATACGTCATGTCCACGCAACATTACAACAAACCACAGTATTGCCACATATCCACCAACTCTTTTTTTTTGTTCTCGATCAATATGTGTCGGGTAAACCCGTTCATCACTGACGTTGAATGATGACGATCATATTTTTCTCTTGATTAAACTCATTTCAACATACACACACACAGAGATATTTAAAAAAAAAGTATGCCGGTACATTTTTTTTACTCTTTCTCTACTCATCAGATATATCGATTTCATGTTTATAATTTACAAATTTTTATCCAGTTCACTAGGTTTATTTTTTCTCCATTTCTTTTCGGTTTAAAAGGCTACAGCAGGTAAGTGTTGTTTTTTTTTGAATTAATTAACTAATTAAGTCCAGTTTCTTTTCGGTTTGTTTTCAGGTAACTTAGATCATCATCTCAAAAAAAAATGATTTACTGATTTCTAATCGTCGTCGTCGATGATTTACTTGATAAGAAAATTAAGCTAATGGAAACCATTTTTAAAAATTTGCTGATATGGCAAATGTAAATCAAAGAATAAATATTGCCATTAAATAAACCTTTTTTTTGTTGTTGTTGTTGTCGGTATGATTTACCCAAATGTATGTATGTACATTTAGATTTTTTCTATTAATTTTCTATTGGATTTTCTTTCTTTAAGTTGCTACTTGTTGATTGATTTGATTTTTTTGCGAAAAACAATCACTTATGTTCGGATAACAAGATTATGAATAAATTGGTGATCATCATCATCATCGAATAATTTACCATATCGGAGATGGTTATCAAAAAAAATCTTATAGCCATTGTATTCATGAAGGTAAGACCAACAAAACCGATAAATTTAATTTAAAGATAATCTTTTCTAATAAAAACTTAATTTACAATTGTAGAAAAAGTACAATGTGTTGAAAAAAAACCATCACCACCACCAAACATATAAATTATTTCAATGTGAATATATAATGATGGCTATCCCATATTATTCGTCATCACTTACTTACTTACTATACAATTATATGGATGGATTACTTTTTTTCATCAATATCGATATGGTTGATTGATTCAACTAGATCTTTTGTGTGTGATAAGTTTTCCGTTTCAAAAAAAACAAAAATCGTTAAAATATCGTTTGGTCCGATGAGAAGCTACATGTTTTTGGTGATAATTTTGATCGCGGTAAGCTAAATTATATAAAAAATGTCATTACATCTTTTATTTATCAACCGTTTCTGTCCACACACACACCTACCATGCATATTTAGGTCCTGGAACAACTTCACATGGGAAACAACAACAAAAAAATCGATGATTTAATGATGAGCAAATGTCATTCACATTTTTTTTGTCATCGTTGTTTTGGGTGTTCGATGTAATCACCGAGAAACCGTTTTTGGTTCAATTTTTTGAAAAAAAATTATTATGGTCATCATTTTTGTTGTTGTTGTTGTTGAAATACATCTGTCAAAATTATAGAGAGCAAAAATGTCAGAATAAAAAATGAAATATCATTAATCTCTTGCTGTTGTCTAACTACAACCATTCAGGTATTTATCATTCAGTCAACAAAAAAAAACAACCAGAAAGAAAAACATTAAAGATTAACCTTTGAACTTTTTTTTTCTCTATCCAAAAATAGTTATACGGTTAAATGGAGATTATATTTGGTGGTAAATAAAAAAAAAACAGAAAAATTCTTTTCCCGTTACTGTCACCTTTTTTTTCCACTACATAAGCATCGTTTGTTTTTTATAATTTTTGCTTCCGCATAACAAATCTTTTTTTTTCTTTCTTCATCATGTCATATCGGTCGACCATCATCATCATCATCATAATTTCTATTTTGTTTGTAATAGATATTTGTAATGATTTGTGTCTGTTTAAAATGTTTATTACTAAAATTCCATGATAGTTTTTTAATTGATAAATCCAGTTAATGTTTTTTATTATTTTTTTTAATACTACAGTAATAACATTGACACTTGGCACAGATAGATTTTCTTTCTTTTTTTAAAAATGACAAACATAATTCATTTCATTTAAATTTTTTACAAATTTTATTTTCCTTTTTCTTTCAGTTGCCTTATTAAGCAATTATTTTGCCATGATTGAAAGCGAATAACCCAGATGAATATTTGTGTTTGTGTGTGTGTGACTTTGATCAAGTTATCCTAATTTGATTATCTAATAGAAAAAAATCAAAACAATTCAGACATTTGAAACACTATGTTTGTGTGTCGTCGATCATATGTAAATGACAATAACCGAATTATTGATTTAAAACAACAAACAAATAGAAAAAATGAAAGAATGGCGCCATGTTCCATATAATTTTGTTTTGGAATTTAACCCCTTTTTTTCTAATGTTTGTTTTATGAAAACCCGGTAATAATAATATGTTGAACATACATGTTGTTTTCATCTAAAAAACAAAACAATAAACATTTACATAATCCTTGTTTGAAATATTTGTTCAACATAAACATGTTTCAAACCAAAAATAAAGCATTGGTCATTGGGCAAAGAAGTTGCGAAAACAAAACCTTTACAATGGAATATAAGTTCATTGACTGAAACAGGAACAATTTTCCTGTTTACGCTTTTCACTCAAATAAAACATACAAACACACTTTTTTCTTGTAAGCATAAAGATCTATTAGTTGAAACAAAAAAAGGTCGAGATCACATAACACATATCATCATCATTCTTCAAATCGACCGACTTTTTTGGTTTTCCTTACTACACTACAAATCTGACCGATTATATAATATCAGATGTCTGGTCAGAGTCTAGTGTTTTTTTTCCTATCAAAAAAAGCTAATGAAAAAAAAACCGAAAAGAAAAACTTTTAAGAAAATAACACCTGCTTACTTTCTTTCGATTGTTGCTGTTTTGTTAAAGTTTATTATTTTTTTTTTCATTCACCATTAACACGGATGAACGGATCGGCTAATTCATGAATGAAATTATGATGCTAATGGTGGTGGTGATGGTGATGATTGATTAAATTTTTATGTGACCATCATCGATGGTCATCATCATCATCATTATCATCATCAGACCTTGGCCATGAAAATAGACAAACAAACAAAAAAAGAAAATTAGGCCCATAATCAATCAATTTCTGGTGGGATGTTTAATTATGTTTTTTTTTCTGGTTGGTTCTCACGCCCAAAAACCAGAAAATTCAGAAATCTTTTCTTTTTCCAAGCAAAAATCCATTGATGGATGTGATTTTTTTTTCTGCATAAACCAAAGTATTATTTTTAAACAAAACATCTTATCGTGAATTGACTTTTAATTTTTTATCTTTTTGCAATAATCAACAGGTTGTCGATGGTGGGAGGTTGTGGAATTTTAATTTTTTTTTTGGTTATTAACTGGTGGATCTTATGATGATGATGACACGCATCGATTTTATCCAGGCATGAATCCTGTTTTGGTGAAGAAAGAAATTTTTTTTTTCTGATCTTACCATCAATGTGATATTGTGATCCATTCATTCATCAATTACCATACTGCGGATTATGGCCAAATCTTCACAAGGAAATTTAACTAAATGTGGAAACAAAAAAAAAAACAATGAAAAAACACCCCAGTCAAAACATTTTCAGAATTTTTTTGATATATTGGCAAGCCTCTCTCTCTGTGTATCTCTGTATCGAAAGATTTTACTTTCTACTAATTGCTGCTAATTCAATTAACCATTTGTATTTGAAAAAAAATTTCACATTTTCGTTTTTGTTTGCTGTGTTTGATGGATAATGATGATAAAATTTGCAAATCAAATTACCATGAAGAAGGCAATATTTTATTTTTTCGGTTGTTGTTGTTTTTGGTTGGCCAAAATACAAATTCATTTTTGCTTCCTGTACAAATCGTCATCATCATCATTTAACATCGAAAACGGTTTTTGTCAGAATAAGAAGAAGAAGAAAACATCATTATCAAGATTATAAGTGATAGATAAGTTAGATAGTGGGTGTAGAAAGCAACATTAAAAAGAAAAACAAAAGTTTTTCTTTCGGGCCAGAAAAAAAAAAGAAATTACTGTAGACACATCAATAAACAACAACACACAGGCATACATATTTCTTTTTGGATAGAGATAAATAGACATAGACAAATCTAATGTCTATCTTTGATTTTTTTTTTTTTTTGATAATGTCAGCTTTTAAGTTTCTTTTCTTTTAATAATAAGATGATAATGTTTGATAACGACAATGATGTTTTTTTTCTGGTTTTGGGTTAATTTTTTTTCTTTTCTCCCTTTCACTCAATTTGTACGTAAATATTGCTCAATGACATACACACACACATTTATCATTGTCTATTTACAAAAAATAAAAATAAAAAAATATAAGAATCGGCGAATGTTATGGAATCTGGAAAGAAATAGAGAGAAAAAAAGGTTATCAATAACCACGTAGTTTGTTTTTTTATTTTGATTCCAAAAAAAAACATTTCCATAACAATCTTGGTTTTGTTTTTTCTGGCTTTGATCAATGTGATTATGGTGATTATCATTGATATTTTAGTTTACAAAAAAAATAAACTGATGTCAATAAAAGAAAAACAACCCTGATAACAACAAAAACAACAATCGAACCAGAAAATATGTAAACATTATTTTATGGATGAAAAAATAGCTATTGTTTTGTAATTTTCAGCCATTCCTTTTTCACCTTTTTACCTTTTTATCTATTTCTGGTTGTCGATGATGATGATGATGATAGCAATTTGATGATTGGAAAAAATATTATCGAATAGGATCTCTGTTTATTATTATTATTTACAAATCAATTAAATATGCAAGATTATTATCATCAAATTGATATTATTTTCATCTTTTAAATGTTTGGATGATGACAAAAAATATGTACCATCGTTTAATGATGTGGATGATGATATGTTTGTTTACATAATCATCATTTAAATTGTTTGATTGTGTGTGTAATGTTTTTCTAACCTGGATATATTTACACAGTTTGATAGCCAAAACAAAACAAAACAAAAATAGAATTGATAACAACAATGTTGTTTTTGCGGTAATATTTGAATCGGATATGGAATATTTTGTTTTTCAAACAAAACAAAACTAAAAAATTTCGAAAGTAAAAGTTTTTTTTTAATTAGAGAAACAAAAATTATGTAAATTCCATTCAATGAAAATATTCAAAAAAATTTTTCTCTGTTCAATCAACCGATTCTCATTTGGTCATTTCATTCTGTTTCTGTTGTTTTCTGTTTGTCTATTGATGATTTGCGTGACTTTTTTATTACCTTAAAAATATGGCCAGGTGACATTGACTATATCGACTAACACAACAACAACAACAACAAAGGTCAAATTCGATTACAATGGAAACAAAACATCCATTGTCGAAGCAATTTTGTTTTTAGCTGCATTCATTTACATTGATAATTATCATTTTGTTTGTTTGAATAAATTTTTCAAAACAAATTTTCAATTTTTAAAACTATTTTTTTTTGTCTATTTTATCTATGCAGGTGGTTTTCAGCGATTTGTTCACCAATTGTCACCAGAATCTATCGATGTTTTTCTGGGTTTTGTTTCTGGATTGTCAATTTGGGTAAAATGTTTCCATAATGATGGATCGTGTGGTATGGTTGGTGATTGGATCATAATGATGCCCAGGTGCCCGACTATAATAATAATAAACAATTTTTCCAAATTAAAAAAAAAATTATTATAAACAAAAATCCAAACAAACAAACAAAGTTTTTTTATCAATCAATTATCGAGACATCAGAAAAAAAACAAATATTTTTTACAAACGAGGTTTATCTCTTTTTATTTGATTACCCTTAAAATAACAAACAAGTTAAATGACGACAACGACGACGACGACAATAACCAGATATTTTTTCTTTTTTCTTTCAAACAAAAATGATCCGATCATGAAGAAGTTTTTGGGAGGGGGAGGCTATAGGGCGCCATCATCATTTGAAGTATTATTCTTTGTTTAGGATCAATGATCATCGTCATCATCATCATTTTTGCATTATATCAATATCGAATTACAAACCCAAAGAGAGAGAGAGAGAGAGAGAGAGACGGACTGATGGAGACAGACATTATTTTATTTTTTTACCGAAAAAAATTTTCTTAAGAATGGCGCCCAAATATAAATATCATTTTCTATTTTGTTTAGTTTATATAGAGACGTAGTGATGAGAAAAATAAAAATTTTCATTTTTTTTTTGAAAATTTTTTTTGTTTAGTAAAAAATTAAAGAAAATCAGGGTATCAAATCATTCAATACACACACACATTCCGTTCATTCACATGATGATCAACGAATGTTTTTTTTCCTTCGATAATCGACAAAAAATAAAGAAAATTTCCCAAATTTTGAAATCTGAAACATTTTTTTGTTGTTGTTATTGTTTTTCATTCATCAAAAATTGTCGACAATAATTTTTTTTCCTGGCCTACTTTTCTTCGTTTTCTTTCTCTCTCTGTCTGTGATATCAAAGAATCTTATCTTTCTTTTCTTTTTTCCCACTTAAAATGATGATGATGATTGAAAAATTTGATACAATGTGACAATTATACCCACAGACTTTACTCAATGATGATTATGATATCCTTTTCTTTTTTCTTTTTGTTTTGTTATTGTTATCAATAATTTATTAATTTGTATAATTTTTTTTTATAAAACGATTAATGACGACGAATCAATGGAAATTATAGGAATGATGATGATGATGATGAGAAAAAATTACTTTTCGCATCATCAACAATGATAGGATCAATGTTCGTTGTAATAATCAGATGATGATTATAATGACATTTGATTATAATGATGAGATCGATGATCTCCAAATCTCTCTCTCTATCTCTCTCTATTGGAAAGATCTGTGACCTATGAATGGACATACACACATGTGATTTGTTTTGCGGAATTATTTTATTTTATTTTGTTGTCAATAATGATCGATTCCTAGATAAACTGATTTTCCCTATTCTGTTGTTGAAAAATCAGTTTAATAAATGTCATTGTGTTTTATTAGCTGAACAACAATAACAAACTATAGTCAATGAACTGAATTTGTTCATTTAGAAAACAAAAAACATTGTATCACATCAATGATGATGATAATCATCATTTAATCATTTAATTTGAATCATCATGATGACATGGTAGGATTTTTTTTTCGTTTGTTTGTTTGTTTTCAAACAAAAAGCAATTTGTCTTTCTTTTGCTTCATTCAAAGTTCATCGTCATTCATTCATTCATTCATTCAATCAATCATTCAATCATCACGAGTGATGAAGAAACAAAAAACCAAAGCAAAATATCGATATGAAATGAAAGATATCCACCAAACAAAAAAAAAATGAAATAGACAAATTCAATAGTTTATTTGGATTATAATAGACAAAACTTTCTTCGTCTTGTTTTTTCTGGATCAAAAAAAAATTCGACCCATTTTTTCCCAATCAATGTTTATTCGATGTTGAAATATTTCTCGTTGTTCGTTGTTGATGATCATCCAGTTTTTATTATTATCATCATTCGATCATCATCATCATCATCATCGAATGATGTTGCCACATTTAGTTTCCGATATTTTGTTTCGTTTTTTGTCCAAAATTAACCCGTTATCGTCTCGTTTATTATTGCTGACTCGAGGTATTTTTTTGGATTGTTCATTCTTTGTTTGTTGTTTGTTGTTGGCAATTTCATTTTTTGTTACTTTGTTGTTTTATTCAGGAAATTTGTATCCATTTCATCATAATCATCAACGATGATTATGATGATTATATGAATGGATTTTTTTTCTAAATGGATAAACATTCAATAAAATGATAAAGGATAGAAAAATGATTGGTCGTATTTTAGTTGGAAATATGAAACTTTGATTTCTACCAATTTTTCTGGTGTGCCCGGGTATTCTGCTTGTTGTTGTTGTCAAAATCGTTGTTGTTGTTGTTGTTGTTAATGTTTTTATCAACATAAATGAACGATCGACGACTACCGATATTGTTTGCAAAATATCTTCTTCTTTTTTTCATTTTTTGTTGCTGATGATTTCAAAAAAAAAAAACGATTGTCCTATTAACAAAAAGAACGAAAGGGAACGGGAAAAACAAAAAATTTAATTTTTTTTTTGGTACGAAATATCATGCAAGCGAGCAAAAAGCATTTTTTTTCCTTTAAAGACATTTTTACCACATTACATGATCTTAGGAAAAAAAAACTAAAATTTATAAATCAATTTTATTATTACATGTTTTTTTAAAAAAAAAATAAACCGCGGTTTTATTCAATTTTATTTAAAAGAAAAATTTGTAATTTAAAATCAGAACAACAAAATTTAATTGTTTTTTTTTAAACAAACAAATTTTATAAAAATATAATCATCTTGAATCGGAATAATCAGCTCAATTAATAATAAATATGATGTAATCTTTTGCATTCTTGCACACAAAAATTCAATTCTGAATTACTTAAATGGTAATTTCCGAATACCTTTTTACAAAATTTTCGATAATAATCATCAGATGTATCTCTATTTCGTATACATCCATCGAAGAATTGGTCGGTTAGTTTATTATAATCTATCTAAAAAAAATGAACAAAACAATTTTTGTTTTTAAATGAACAATCAAAAAAAAAAAAATCATTTAAAATCTTACTGGAAATGAAATTGATCTTGTTTTAATACGGGCCGATTGAATTGAATTGATCAAAATGATGACCAATAAAATTGTTGATAAAATATGTATGGATTTCATTTTTGTCGATTTGGTTTTGGTTTTGGTTTTTTTGATGAAAGATTTTTGAACCAAGTTTGAAGATTTATAATTTTGATTTGGAGATCATATCATATTTATATATGAGATGAATTCGATTTTTTTTTTTTGATTTTGCAACATTCATTTTCCCAGATAATGTTGGAATTTTGAAATTGAATAAACAAATTTAAATTTTTTAATCTATTTTCAATCAGTCGACATCAATATATTTGAATGATGTCATTGGAAAAAAAATCAATTACCTTGTTTGATTGATTGATTTATTCGATGTTTATCTTGAAATTATCAATTTTGAAATGTTTAAACCGGAATTAAATTTTTTTTTCTAAATGATGACGATGATGATTCACGTCACATCGTTATGTATGGCTATCATTTAGACTTTAATAAATCAAACAAAAATATTTTTCATTTTTTGTTGCTGATGATTTCAAAAAGCGATTGTCCTATTAACAAAAAGAACGAAAGGGAAAGGAAAAAACAAAAAAAATTAATTTTTTTTTGGTACGAAATATCATGCAAGCAAGCAAAAAGCGTTTTTTTTTTCATTTAAAGACATTTTTACCACATAACATTAGATGATGATAATTGACTTTGAAGATTTTCTCACACGTACACCATAATTGATGATGATCATCATCTTTTACGTACCACAACCAACGGACCACACTAAAACATTTTTTTTTTGTAAATTGTTGATGATTGACCGTTGGTGTGTTCATCCATGCTTGATTCCCTTTGATTTTGTCATTTTTTTTTATTTGATTGTATAAGTAACCTATAAGTAAATTGCAATATTGCAAAACATCCGATAGTGATTACCATCATCATCAACAGCAACCATCATTGTAATTTGATGATATAATCAGGATTGGAAAACAAAAACACAAAAAATTGACTTAATTCAATTTTAATTTCGGAAAAAAACAACTGGAATCGCAAAAAACGCCATCTTTCGGCCGCAAATGGATTAGGAATGTTATCATTTTTGTTTTTTGTTTTTTTTTGATCCGAAAAATATTCCCATGGTTTTTTGGTTTTTCTCACGAAAAAATATGGTGAGAAAATCATTCGGGAAAAAAAGGATTGATTGGAATGTGGATGTGTTTTGCACTTGTGTTATACACCGTTATAATCAATTGATTGATTATCGATTACAGTAGTTGTTTGTTTGGTGGTAAATTAATTATCATCATCAATGTATGAATCATCTTTTTTTCTTTCTATTAATGACATACATTTGATGATCATCAATATCGTTGAATTCAAAAACAAATGAAATATTTTTGTTTGATTGATGATAAAGTCTAAATGTGATAGCCATAACGATGTGACGTGAATCATCATCATTTAGAAAAAAAAGTTCCGGTTCAAAATTGATAATTTCAAGATAAACATCGAATAAATCAATCAAACAAGGTAATCGATTTTTTTTCCAATGACATCATTCGAATATATTGATGTCGACTGATTGAGAATAGATTAAAAATAGATTAAAAAATTTAAATTTGTTTTTTTTCAATTTCAAAATTCCAACATTATCTGGGAAAATGAATGTCGCAAAGAAATCAAATTCATCTCATATATAAATATGATATGATTTCCAGATCATAATTATAAATCTTCGAATTTGATAGAAAAATCTTTCATCCAAAAACCAAAGCCAAACCAAAAATGAAATCCATACATATTTTATCAACAATTTTATTGGTCATCATTTTGATCGATTCAATTCAATCGGCCGGTATTAAAACTAAATCAATGTTTAATTTTATCAATAATAAAAAATCAGTAAGATATGAAATGATTTATTTTTTGATTGTTCATTAAAAAAAATTGTTTTGTTCATTTTTTTTCAGCTCTCAGAAGATGTTGAAAAATTCATCGAAAAACTCATTGATGAATGCATACTAAATGAAGATACATCCGATTCTCATTATAATAAATTTTGTTATGAATTTGTAAAAGAAGAATTTCCAGAATTGTCAGTATCAAATTTCTATAACTATTTCTATGAATGTGTGGACGAATGCAAAAAATTACATGATATTTATGCTGATGATTAATTGGGCTGAATATTTCGATTCAAAATGATTATTTTNTCAAGAATTACTGAAACTATTGGGTGTATGATTTGAAATAATTATAATTTTTTTTTGTTGTAATCAATTTTTTTTCAATATTGTTTTGTTTTTAGGTTCCTCCAGAAATAATTGATTTAGCTGATGAATTCATTGAAGGATGTGTACAAAATACTGATACATCCGATTCATATTATCGTAAATTTTGTATGGATGTATTCAATACTGGTGATGATTTAGATATTTGCATAGAATCATGTAAAATTGTACATAACACTTTTGGTTGATTAACGCATTCGCTACCGGAGGTTTGGAAAAACACATTGCAGCGAACGTGTTAATTAATATAATATTCAGATTCAAGATGATTATTTTTATAATTTTTTTTTACTAATTAAATTGTGTTGTCTGATTTTACATTACAAATTTTTTTTCAAAATAAAATTGAATAAAACCGTTGTTTATTTTTTTAAAAAAAACATATGATGATAAAATTGATTTATAACGGTTAAAGTTGGTGAAAAAAATCATCATTTCCAAACAGTGGATGCTAATTATGCTAATCATCATCATTATTGATGATGTTATTCAAAAGTATTTTTGCTTTTTTTGGCAAAACAAATTCCATTCGGAAAAAAATTTCATCATTTTGGAATGTAACCAAGTAGTGGAAAAGAGAATAAAACACCCTATAAATATAAAAGATTTACAGATCAAAGTGATAATGTTATTTTTATTGTGATCAAGCTGTAATTTCATATCCAAAACAACCTACCAACAAAAGACAAAACAAAAATGAAATCTACACTTATTTTAGCAACAATTTTGATAATGTCTATCATTCTAATTGATTCAATTCAATCAGTTCGATTTGATTGTTGTTCATTTTATCAACCGGTAAGATTTTTCAAATAATTTTTTTCGTTAAAAAAAGTCCATTTTTGTTAATGTTCTTCCTTAGTCTCTTTCATCCAAACAAGAATTTATGGACAAAATTTATAAAGGATGCATTGCAAATGATGATGATGATGAATCCGGATCAAGTAATCGCGATTTTTGTCGTGAATTATTGGAAGATTTTGTTGAACCTGAACAAATTGATAGTTATATTGATTATTGTGTTGCACAATGTGAATTGTTACATGGTTCAAAGTAACATTTGTTGTTTGATTGAAAATGATTCAAATCTTATGAATTTTTTTTTATAACAATTACATTGATGAATCATAATTATGGATTTTGAATTTAAAAATTAATAAAAATTTTGGCCAAAATTTGTTTGTAATTTCCTTTTTCTTCAGATATTTTAGTGATTATTTGTAAACTGTGGATGTCAATTGTGATTGCAAATTTTTTTACATTTATAAAGTAATTTTTGTTTGTTTTTTTTTTGGTTTGTTTTGTTCAAATTTCATCATTTTGGAATGTAACCAGGTGTAAAACAAAGTAAATCATCCTGCTATAAATATAAAAGATTTGTCGATCAAAATGATTGTCATTGATTAAATTGATAATCTCATTCAAATCGACAAACCAACAAGATAAAAAAAATTGACAGCAAAAATGAAATCTACATTGATTTTTTCAACAATTTTAATGGCCATCATTTTGATCAATCAATTTGATTCAATTCAATCGGCCAATTTGTTAATTACATTAATTCAAGAATTACTGAAACTATTGGGTGTATGATTTGAAATAATTATAATTTTTTTTTTGTTGATTATAATCAATTTTTTTTTCAATATTGTTTTGTTTTTAGGTCCCTCCACCAATAGTTGATTTAGCTGAGGAATTCATTGAAGGATGTGTACAAAATACTGATACATCCGATTCATATTATCGTGAATTTTGTAAGAAAATATTGAATACTGATGATGATTTAGATATTTGCATAGAACCATGTAAAATTGTACATAGCACTTTTGGTTGATTTGCTACCAGAGGTTTGGAAAAACGCATTGAACCACAGCAAATGGTAGCGAACGTGTTAATTAATAATATTATTCAGATTCAAGATGATTATTTTTTATAAATTTTTTTTTTACTAATTTAATTGTGTTTCCTGATTTTAAATTACAAATTTTAAAAAAATGAAATAAAATAAAACTGTGGTTTATAAAAAAAAAAACATTATAATAACATTGATAAATTAATCAAAAAATTTTTGTTTTTTAAAAACAGATTTTCTCTGATAAATCATCATTTGTGAACATAGATTCCAGTTATGATCATCATTATCATCATCATCGATGTTAATGATGTTTTTCAAACAGTTTTCCAAAACAAATTCCATTCGAAAGAAAATTTCCATCATTTGGAATGTGAAAAGTATAGGAAAACGAAAAAAAAATCATCCTATAAATATGAAACATTTACAGATTTCCAAATGTTGTTTTATTAATTGATCAATTTGTAATCGAATTCAAATCGACAAAACAAATCGAAAATGAAATCCACGCATATTTTATCATTACCAATTTTGATGATGGCCATCGTTTTGATTGATTCAATTCAATCGGCTAGTATTGCAAATGGATCGACTCAAGATTTTCTTAATCAACAAACAGTAAGATTTGAAATCAATTTGATTTTGTATGTTTGATTGTTTTTCGTTCATTTGTTTTTTTTTTCATTTCAGACCTCTACAGATTTAAAAGAATCAGTCAATCAATTTATTGATGGATGCGTGACAAATAAAGATACATCCAATACATATTATCGTCAATTTTGTGCCGATTATCTAACAAAAGAATTTCCAGGAAATTATACAGAAATGGAATTTGATATCGGTTTGAATTATTGTATGAGTCAATGCAAATTTATGCATGAAATTTCGGTTTTGTTTGAATAAATATTATTCAGTTACAAGATTACAAATTACAAATTTTTTTTTCATTTAAAAAATAAACATTTGATAAAATAAAATTGATTTATAACGATTAAATTTGTTGAAAAATCATAACATTGGATGCCAAATGTAATCATCATCATTGATGATGATTTCAAAACAAATTTTTCTAAAGTTTTTTATTTCCTATTTCATCATTTTGGAATGTAGCCAGGTACAGGAATGAATGAAAACCAAAAAATCAAATCATATAAATATAAAAGATTTTGATAAAATGTTAATGCTATTTGTCATTTTGATCAAATTGTAATCTCACATCCACAAACCAAAAATGAAATCCATACAGATTTTATCGACAATTTTCATGATGGCCATCATTTTGATCGATTCAATTCAATCGACACAAAATGATTGGGAACCAATTCTTCGACCAAATTTAAGGCTAACAGTAAGATTTTAAAATAATCATTTTTCATTTTCATTTTTCATGGTATTTTGTTTGCTTTTTTCAGGAATTGGCAAGATTATATGGAATGCATACGAAGGTTGTTAATGGTTGTATCCACAATAATGAGGAATCTGAATCGTATTATGTTGATTTTTGTCATGAACTAGAATATTATTTGAATTCAGGGAATAAATATTCCGATTTTATGAATTATTGTATGGAAGAATGTCTGCAGTTGCATTCTTCACAACGGCCGAATTGATTTTTCTTTTCAATGAAAATTTCAAAAATTTAACCCTTTATGATTATTGATTTTTTAAAATTTGAAAAAATAAAGATAATAAAAAACATATTTTGATTTTATTTTTTAAACATAATAATAGCATCAATAACTGATATATAACAATCATAGCGACTGAATTTGTTAAAAAATTTAAATTTTTCCAAATTTTCATATACCAATTGTGAACAAGATGTTAATATTAATTGGGCATTATATTTTTCTAATAAATCAATAGTTTCGGTTAATGCTTCAACACCTTTCTGATCAATATAAGTCATACGGCTACAATCTAATATAATACGATATGGTTCAAAATTTTTATTGTTTTCTGTTATGGTTTGATTATTATTATTATCATCATCAGCAGCGATAGGAATAACATTACGATGTTCATGTTCGTACAATTCGACAATAAAACGACCAATAATTGAATAAAATTGTGTACGAAAATATAATGCATTTATAAACATTAATGGACCTTGAAATTCAAATACAACCAAACGATTTTGTTGATTTAAACAATAAAAAAATCTTTCACGATTATGATCAAATTGTGAATTACTTATTTCCAGAAAAATTTCCGTATCATTTTGTTGAAATTTTAGTTTGATTGTTGGTGATATTAATTTAGCAATTAATATTATAAATGAAAATAATATTGAATAAAGTAGACCATTATCAACACCAAATAATATGACAAATAAAAATGTTATCAACCAAAGTATGCCATCTAATCGGGAAATTTTCCATGCTTGTTTTAATTCACGTATACGTTTTAATGTAGAAAAAATGGCTACCGAAATGATTGCTGAAAGTACACACTTTGTAAAAAATGAAAAAAAAATCAGAAGTTTTATACAAATTTTGTTTTTTGTTCAATAAATACCTTCGGTAATGTACGTAGATATGTTGAAAGTAATGATAAAACTATTACCATCAATATTGATGATATTATACTGACTAATTGTGTACGGCCACCAACACGTTGTTGTACAGCCGAACGTGATAATGATGCACAACATGGAAAACAAAGAAAAAATGATGAAAATATATTGGCCGTTCCTAATGCAATTAATTCTTGATTTGGATTGATTTTATAGCCAAATTTTTTACCATACATTTTTCCCAATGATAATGTTATCAGATATGATATCAGACATATTAATAATGCTTTTGGTATCATTTGTAACATAAGATTTGTATCTGGAATTTTGGGCATTCCTGTAAATCTAAAATCAATGAGGAAAATCCATTATTATTAGATCATTGAATAATCAATCAATTTTACCCATCCGGAATATTTGGTATGATATGAACATTATAATTTCCATTAAAATCTAACAAATATGATAATAATGTTATCAATATAACCAATGCAATATCAATCGGAATGGTAATAGATTTTAGTTGAAATTTTTTCATTAAAAATGGTTCGAAAAAATATTTGCAACCAATCAAAATTCCAATCGATATTAATGAAATACACATTGTAACAATATTTGTATGATGAATTCGGCTAAAAAATGAAATGTATGCCTATGAGGAAAAGAGAGAGAGAGAAAAAAAAACATAAATTCAATCCAAAAAACAAACAAGGTTAAAAATTTACATTAACTATATCCATTGGTAAAGGAATCTGATAATCTTCATCATTTTTCGATTCAATACCAATAAAATCAAAAATTTGATTTGTAAACACATGAACAGCACTGCCAACAATAAATGCCGATATTAATGTATCGGATAATATAATCGATAAGATGCCTAATCGAAATATACCTAGTATAAGCTATTATTGAATTATGGGAAAAGTAAAAATCAATGATTAAAAATCAATTGAATCATCCTTTTACATACCTGAATTATACCGACAAGCAAACATAATGTTATTAATATTTCAATTGGTTCATATTGTTGTTGTTGTTGTAGATTATTATCATCATTAACAAATTGAAAACTTTCAATAACATCTTTACATGCAATTGAAATGACCGAAAATGTACCAATAGAAATATGTTTTGATGTACCAAATATTGAATACATTATTAATGGAAATAATGATACATAAAGGCCATTGATTGGACCAACACCAGCCAAATGACCATATGCTAAACCTTGTGGTATATTCAATGCTAATACAGTTGTACCGGCAATCAAATCCGGTATAATATCATTTTTCCAACAATAATTCGGTAACCATTGAAATATTGGTAAAAATTCATAAAATAATTTTTGTAAATTGAATAAATATTTTTGTTTTTGATAAAATTTTTTAATTTTTCTAAAAAAAATTTTCGATTTTATACAATAATGATGATGATGTTGATTAGTTTTATTTGTTGGGTAAAAATCCTGACAATAAGCTATTGAACGATTAACAAGAATATCATGAACATGATTAGTAGCCAATGATGAAATTGATGATTGAAATGATTGTAAATCATCATTATTATCGATATCAATATTATCAACACCATCTTGATTGTTCGTTGAAAATGCGCGATTGTCCATTATAAAAAGGTGGCGTCGTCGTTATTGATATTTCACAGGTTTTGTTTTTTTTTTCGTTCACCATCAGATTGAATGTCTTTAAAATGTCTTTTTTTTTAAAAAAAACGACAATCAATTCAATTTTATGATCACAACACACAAAATATGGTGTATGATACTATTGTAATTATAATTTTTTTTTATAATATCCATTCTCCATTATTATTATTATTTATGATCAAAATACAATTAATGAGAATTATTTTTTTTTGTAGATCAAAGTACAGAAAATAATTTATAATTTTATTGACACAATGGGATTTCATTGTTTTTTTTTGGAAATTATGTTAAAAAAATATATATTAGAATTGATTTATAATGCCATCTACAGGTGTGTGTGTGGATTGTTAATTGATTTTTGATAATTATTGTATATTTTTTTATTTATAAAAAAAAAACATTTTATATACAATCCCAACGTTGAAACATTTTAAAACGACGACCAATAGCAATATTTAATGGACCAAATGTTGATAATGAAATCCATTGACAAACATCACCTAAAACATGTAAAGAATAGCCAGACATTGTTGAATTCCATTGTAAACGTAATTCATTATCATATTTATAATATTGCCATATGGATTTATGTTGTTCGGATGTTGATAAAACAGCTGAAACTATACAACAAATTGTTGATGATAAATTAATCATTATAATAACTATAATCATAGTTGGTGATGATTGTATTCCATATGAATCGATTATTAAATAAATACAGACCAATGCAAAACAATATATTATACCGGATGGTAAAAAAATTGTTACACCAATCATATGACCATTTAAATTTTGGATTTTACGAAAATTTCCTATTATAACCAAACCGATTGACATTAATATTGATGTTACCATTATTATTTTTCTCGATGATTGAAGAGAATTTATTTTTTTATCATCTTTTGGTTGATCAAGTTCAAAACGTTGTTGTAATTCCCATGCATAATAATGAATTTGTTTGTAAATAATTATGCCAACAAAAATAGCTGGTTGGTTAAAAACAAAACAAAAAAAAGAAATGAGAAAAATTTATAAATTCAAAAAATTTTGTTTAAAATATATTACTTAATGCAGCAATAACATCAAGAAATGTAGAAAAATATTTTGCAACCGGTATTACAGAACCAGTTTCATTAACAAATGGCCATATTGGATATACTGATCCATTTGGTATGGTTGATATGAAACTAAATATTTTTTTTTTAAACAGACAAAAAAAAAAAAGAATGTAATTTAAAAAAAATCCGAAAATTATTCAACAGAATCAATAGAGAATACATACGGTACAAAAGAGGTAAATATAATGATAATACCATTAATGAATGGAATTAACCATAAATGACGTTTAATACTTTTTTTTGGTATAATATTATATGGTAATTTTTTTTTGAATGTTCTTTTTTTAGAACCAGTTAAACCAGTAGTAGTATTATCTGTTGTAAATGTTTCAGATATAGTTTCCGGTTCAATTGTATCCAATGTATTCGTCCAATTAGCCATTTTTCGTTTTTGGTAATGTTTTTTTGTTGTTGTTGTTGTTGTTGAAATTATGGACTCTTTTTTTTTCAATCAATCAACCAACAAATGGCATATTCATAATTTCCAATCAAATAACGATTAATATATACATCGAAAGTGATTGATTGATTTGATTTGATTTAATTTAATTAGAATTGGTATTGTTGTTGCATGAATCGAAATTATTGGATATTTTTATTTTTACAAACAAACAAAAAAAAAATGAAAAGATTTAAAAAAAAAAATATTCAAATTGATTTAACATTGCCATCTAGTGATTGAATTTGTGATCTTTTTTTTGTTTTAAAATTTTATACAATCCCAACGTTTAAACATTCTAAAACGACGACTAATAATAATATTCAGTGGGCCAAATGATAATAATGTAATCCATTCACAAACATCACCTAAAACATGTAAATAATAACCAGACATTGTTGGATTCCATTGTAAACGTAATTCATTATTATAATATTGCCAAATAGAACCATGTTTTAATAATGATAAAACAGTTAATACTACACAAAAAATTGATGATAATAAACTAATCATCATAACAATTATAAGCATAGTTGGTGGTGATTGTATTCCATATGAATCAAGTATTAAATAAACACATATCAATGAAAAACCATATATTAAACCGGATGGTAAAAAAATTGTTACACCAATCATATGACCAGTAAGATTTTCGATTGAACGAAAATTTCCTGTTATAAACAAACCGACCGATATTAATATTGATGTAATTTTTATAATTTTTCTTGATAATACAAGACAATTAAAATTTCTTTCATCAATAGGTCTGTCAAGTTTAAATCGTTGTAATAATTCCCATTTATAATAACGAATTTGTTTGCTAAGAATTATACTAACACAAATAGCTATTTGGTTGAGAAAAATGATTTAAAAAAAAAAAATTTAAAATTACAAAACAAATTTCTAAAATCAAAATCAATGTTTAAAATTACTTAATATAGCAATAATATCAAGAAATGTTGAAAAATATCCTGCAGCTGGTGTTACAGCACCAGCATCACTAACTAATGGCCATATTGGATATATTGAACCATTCGATACGGATATTGTGTAACTGAAACAGACAAAAAAAATAAAAGGTGATTTTAAAAAAATCCGGAAATTATTTGAAATCAATCAACATTGAAAATACATACGGTACAAAACATGCCATAATAACCATAATACCATTTACAAATGGAAGTAACCATAGGTGACGTTTTTTACTTTTTTTTGGTTGAATATAAATATGTGGTAAATTGTTTTTGGGTGCTTTTCTAGCACTAATAATTGTTGTATCGGTTGTAAATGGTTCGGTTATTGATATAGCATTATCATTTGTAACTGTATCGAATGTTTTATCCCGATCATCATCATCATTATCATTTTTTGTCAATTTTCTTTTTTTGTCCATCTTTGTTGTTGTTGTTGTTGTTTTAAAAATTGAACAAAATTTTTGTAATCAAACAAGAAATAATTTTCAATCGAATAATGATCAATATATACACTCAACAGAAACTTGATTTGATTTGATTAGAATTGGATTCGTAACTTTATTGTTGCGTGAATCGAATTCATTCGGATATTTCATTTGAAAAAAATCGAAAAAAATTGAGAAATTTATTATTATTACAAGCGAAAAAAAAGAAAAGAGACCAAAAGAAAGAAAAAGTAAATAATCGAGTAAATAAATGAGTCGAGGAATACATGTTTATATTATCATTTGGTTGATGATAATAATGGTAATTAAATGATAAGAATGGTAATTAGAATTGAATTTGATCCCAATGTTTAAACGAACGTATACGTTTTGATATTGAAAATAATATCGGTGCAAATGAAACAATGGCAATCCATTCGGCAACCGTACTTGTTAGATGCCAATGATAACCATCCATTTCGGATGACCAATATAAACGAAAATTATTATCCCAATATTTGAATGGTGTACCATGATAAAGTACAGCAATCAATGCTGTTAAACTACTTATAAATGTTGATATAATATTAATTATTGTTATAATTATTAAACTAATTGCACGTGTTTCAATTTGATTATAACGATATAATTGTTCAATTAGATAAATCTATTTTTGGTAATTAAAAATTGATAAAAACGTAAAAAAATGAATTAGAGAAAATTTAAAAAAAAACAAATTATAAATACCTGAATAAGTAATATAATTGGAATAAAACTAAATATCAATGTAACACCGATTAAATGTCCGGTCATATTTTCAACAGTACGAAAATTACCAATAAAAACTAAACCAAATGATGATAATAGTCCAAAAAATAAAAAATATAAATTTAAACGATAAAGTAATTGTAGATTATATGATGATGATGATGATTGATCGTTATTTTTATTCAATGAATCTGTGAATGAATTATTATTAAGATAATATTTTATTTGTTTATAACGTGCCCATACTGTAATTGCAACTGATATAATGGGGAGAAAAACAACAACACAAGATTAACACAAATTAATCAAAGAATTGGATTGGAAAACTTACATATTATGGCAATCATATCTAATGATTGTGAAAAATAACTAGCAACAGGTGGAAATGATGCCGAATCCGATACATATGGAAATATTGGATGATAATGACCATTTTGATATGTTAATGCATAGCTATTATATAACCCGGGAAAAAAACACCAAAATGTTCAATGATTACCACACACACACAAACGAAACAAATAAAACTTACGGCATAATACAGATGAATGTAGTGAAAAAACTACCTAAAAAACCAAATAACCAAAGATTATTTTTAATACGTGAATAGAAATGTTTTTTCCATTCACGATCACTATTTGTATTCAAATGTTGTTGTTGCTGTCTATTATTATTATTATTATTGTGGTTATTATGATTGGATTCCGGATCAATATTTTGATCTATTGAAATGGAATTTTCTGCTGTTGTAGCCATGTTGTTATTAAATTATTTTTCAAAGAAAAAAAAAATATCACAAAACGAAGAAGAAGAAAAACTTATCACAAGTCAAAATTGATGTCCAACAATATTGATTTTTTTGTTGTTTTCTTTTATAAGAAATGAAAAAGAGAAACAAAAAAACAAAAAAAAATCACTGTTTGACAAACAAACAAACAAAGTATAGGGACTTTTCGGCTGATGAATAACTTATTTATTGATGTTTCGTTTCGAAATTTTTTTGTTTTAAAATAATCATAGTCAAATATGATGAAAGAAGATTAGTGATTCATTCATTCATTCATCATATACAGATGATGAAAATGTTTGAAGAAGAAGAAGAAATATCTGAAATATCTGATCGAAATATTTGTGATGGCGAGCAGCAGCAGCAGCATCAGCAATGTTTTAAAAATGGCCACGAATGAATTGTGGAAGGAAAACAAAAAAAAAATATTAACATTGAAACAAAAAATCCTATTTTAGCTGTTGCAGAAAAAAAAACAGTTTTTTTTCGGCCGTTTAAAAAAAGGTATGGTAAAATAATAATGATGATGGTCATTTGAAGGTTTTCATATCATTCGGCGAGTGAGAGAGAGATGAAGAAAGAGAAAATGGCTAGTGGACAAACTAGTTTTGTTATTTCAATTAACAAGCAAAAAAAAATCAACCAATGAATTTTTTAAATTTTATTTTGCGGTTCAGTTTTCACCGCAGATAATTTTGTCAATCAACGAAAAGAAGGGATTTTTTTTGAAAAAAATTGATCAAATTTCCTCATCAACGATGATTAGTGAATGATTTGACTTTTGATTAATCGATTAATTGATATAGACACACGTGTTTAATATTGATTTCGATGATTGATTGGCTAATCATCATCAACGATGATGATTAGGATTTCAACAATGCAAAGAAGAAGAAGAAGAAAAAGAAAAATATCAACTTTTTTTCCATTGTATTTATTGTTTCGTGCTGAATTCATATTTGGAAAAACAAAAATTCAAGATTTTTTTTTTTGGTTTCCCGTTTACAATTACCGAAACAAATGATTGCGTGACATGACATTAATCGACATTGTTGTTGTTGATGATATGAGAATCCAAACAAGACAGAAAAAAAATCGGTTAACCTTGAAAATGACTTGATTTTTTTGTTTTGTATTTCGAGAAATGACTCGAAAGAAGAATTTTTCATTTACTATTCAATTTAATTTCATTACAAATTATGAGGTAATTTTCTTTTTTTTTGAAAAATTTCAAAATTAAAAAATCAATAAAAAGATATCCATCATTTCATCATTTCGACCATCATTTTTGTTTAGTAAAATATTGACGTATAAAATCTTCACAAATACGTATAAATGTACGACAATTTTGTAGATTAATATTTAATTCAATACTTTCCTGTTGACTACGATATGGTATTGTTTCAATAATATTATAGATACGTGCTTTTATCAATTCAACTTCGGATTGTTTTTGACGAATTTCTTGATAAATTATTTGACGATCATTATAAGATGATGATGATGATTGTTTTAATCGTTGTTCAAGTTTTTTTAGATAATCAACATATGGATTTAATGCTGTAACAAATTGATCGATTGTTAAAAGTTGATCTAAATTGAAAATGAATGAATGAATGAGATTTTCATTGAGAAATATCAAAAGATTCTTACCAATAGATTGTTTTGATGATGGATAAATATTCAATGAACGAATATGATGATAATCCGAATAATAAGTTGCTAATATCATGATAAACATTATCAATGATGTAACAAGAATGACCATCAATGCATTATCGAATTTAATTTTTATCGTTTTCATTATCATCATTATTATTAACATTGGTTGTTTTCGTTATGTTCGATGATGATGATGATGTTTTTCATGCTCGTTTTAATAATACAGGTAAAACCAAAATCAATATCACACATACATACCAATATCGTCAATAATTAATAAAAAATCTTATCGATTCTTTTCGTTTGGTTGCAATTGGTTACCATCTTGATTTTTATCATTTGATCATCATTGGAAAAAATTTTTTATTTTGATTGAAAAAAAAAGAAATTTTCATCATGTTTATCACTCGATAGATGGCGATGAAAAACTAAAACAAGACAAAACATAATTCCCGTCGGTCGAATGTTTTCACAACCTGTTGTTATGATGGGAATTTTTTCTTCTTTTCGTTTTTTGTTTTGCAATTTTGATGTCAGTTAATAGAACAAAACAAAACAAAAAAAAACCTTGAAAAAATTATCAACAAATCAATCTTATAGGATCTATCCAATGATTATAACTTTTTTCATCATCAATAAAATATTTTGTTGATCAACATCAACAACAACGTCAAAAATACGTGTTTCTACCATGGTGATAATCATCAACATGATCAAAAAAAGTATTTTTGGAATTTGTATCCTGCAAACAAAACAAAAAATCCTGTTATGTTTTTTTTTGTTTTCGATAAACCAAACATACAATTAAAATTCCACATCATCATCATCATGGATTGATGATTTGATGGCGAAAAACATTCGAAATTTCGAATGTTTTTTTTTCGGGTAAAATTTTCGAATGTTTTTGAAACATTCGAAAATTTACGGAAAACAAACAAAAAAAAGTTCAAAAGTCAAGTGAAAAAGTCATTCGGAATTGTTTTTTTATTTCATTTAATTTTTTAAAATTTAAAACAAGAAATGTTTCATTATCAAAATCAAACACCAAAATCAACATATGGTTGGCATTTGATCAATTTGATTACTTTTATAATAACCTATATTTGTCAAAAAAATAAACAAAATTTATTGATAATTAAATTCAATTCAGTATCATTACGTGATGAAAGTTTCAATAATGAATATTCTGATTATAATACTGGTTCTATGATTGTTTTTGATGATTATTATGACAGTAATTATAATGAAAGTAATGTTTATCATCCATTTCGTTTATATTTAATATTTTTGGCTATTTATTTAGCATTTCAAACAATCATAATATTTTTGTATTTTTCATTTAAGGTAATATCATTTCATTTTTGTCATGTTTTTTACCGGTAATTTTAATCTAATTTTTCTTTTTTCTTTTCTTTTTTTTCCAATTCAATCAAGTTTGTACGTCGTATATTTCGTAATTATCAAATATTATGGTCATTACATAAAATGTTAATGTCATATTTAGTTATATTTGAAACGGATTGTATTTATTATTTTATCGGTAATATTGTACAAAATGATCATTTTATTGAAAATTATGAAAAAGAATGGCTAATACTTAAAATATTAATTATTAATGTTTGTCGTTGGTTTTTATTACTTATATCAACTGTTTGTACATTTAGTTTTTTAAATCGTTTAATACAACAAGGTCGTTATCGTCCAAAATTTGGCTGGTTTTCACAAAATTTTTTCGATTATATTATTGTACGTTATTTAATTTATTGTTATTATTATAATCATATGTCTAATTGGTCATTACATTGGTCATTTACATTATTAATTTCATCTTTTTATCTATTTGATATTCGTCAATCGATAACAATTTTCAATTGGATATTTTAAACATTTTTTTACTATTTTTATTTTGGTTTTAAATGAAATACAAGCAAAAAAAATCAATAATAATAATTTTTACCATGATGATTTTGACATTACATTTTCTTCGAAAATAATCACCTTTTTCTCCGAAATGATTTGATCATTGAAAAAAATACCTTTAGATTTACCTTGAAAAAATGAACATTTTTTGTTTTCCTAAAAAAATTATTAGTCGTCCTTTGTGAATGGACTATGAATTTCGAATGAATTTTTGTTGTTGTTGATGTTGAAGAATTTCATCTAATCAAGGTTAAAATTTTAATTTTTATCCATCATCAATTCAATTAGTAAATGGAAAAATTCATGATCAAAACTGAAAAAAAACTGATGATGATGATGATGATATAAGTATAAAGTTCAAACAAACTGCTTACAATAATAAAAATAATCAATGATAAGTAAAAAATTTTATATTTTCCATAATAAACAACAATTAAAATGATGAAATGATTACATCATGTTTTAATCACATGGATTTTATCACATGTAATTTTTTTCTGATTTTAATAACTTTCTCTTTCTCTCTTTTTTGTAATACCAAAGAAGGCTGTATCGATTCCGGATAGCGGAGAATGAAAAAAAAATGATGAAAGCCAGATCAAGAATTGGAAATTTTTTCTATTAAAAAATATATTGTTTGGTTATTCACCCAGGATTCTGATTTTTGATTTTGCAAGAATTTTTGATTTTTCTTTCAATTAATGTGATTGACAGCTTTGTTTCCGTTTCGAGTATTATGATTTTCGTTTTTGTATGTTTTTCATTAATCATTCAATAATCAATGAAAGATCAATGAATTATATGGCGGAAAATCTTTAATTCAACAACAACGAAAAAAATTGCAATTTTTTTGCCACCATCATCATTATCATCATCATGGCCATCTTTCGATTGTGATTTTGATCATTGTGATCACCATCATTGCATCGAGCAATTTTGAAAATGAAAAAAAAACCTTAAAAATTTATCATTGATCCTGAATGAATGAATAATGTTTCTTTCTTTTGAAAAAAAGAAACAAAATTTCTACATCCGAAATTCAATCCAAAGTACATTTGATTCATTTGATTTGATAATTATTTATCAATCATACGATTCAATAACAATCCTTTCCGTCATCATCATCATCATTAAATGAAAAAAAAACACGCCATTAATATGAAATGTTGGCTATTGGAAAACCATATGATTTTTGGTTTTGATAATTTTCAAACATCATTAATATCAATGAACAGCAAACGTCATCATCATATAAAAATGATAAAGTTTTGATATGATATTCCGATCATCCTATCCGATATCGAATGTCGTATATGAGTTTTTAAGATATCACATTTACTACCGCCATGACACAACTTGATTGCACCAGAAACGAAAAAAAAATATATCCAGATAATCACCTCAAAACGAAAGAATGATTATAATAAATTGCATTCATCATCATACAGATTATCCATAGTTTTATTCTTGGCTTCTTCTCCTTTTTGGCTTGCCTTGACTTGGTTTTTTTGGCTATTCAATTTGTCGGGTTTTTGTCAAATTTTGTCAAATTTGTTCTACACAGACAACAACAGAAAAAAATGTGTATAAATAACCTGTGTGTATAAGCAAACAAATGACGACGACATAATCTACGGAATTTATTTATAGCGTTTTCTAATACAAATCCATTACAGATTTAGATTTTTCAATGTTTTTTTTCTGGCTGCTATTGCTGCTATATAAAAATTAACATTGGAATTCATCAGCATTATTGTTAATGATGATGATTTGTTGATAATTCTTTTTTTTTGTATGTTTGTTTGTTTGTCTACGTTTTGTGTTCTCTTTTCTTCTTTTTTTTCCAATTCTACATCATCATCATTGTGGCGGATTGACGTCATTCATAAACGAAAAGAGAGAGAAAGAGAGAATATATCGATCATCGACCAAGATAATCATGGTGATTAAAACAAAACAAAACAACAGAAAAAAAGTCCCATACCGCTATCAAGTTAATTAATTTATTCTAATTTAAAAAAACAATGCATTGTTTGTTTGCAAAAACAAGCAAAACAAAACAAAATTTAATTTAATTTTGAACAAAAAGAAAACATAAAACATTTTGATGACCTTTAAATCAAAAAAAAAAATCCTGGAAATCCAGAATTCAAATGGTTTTTCCACAATGATGATCATTATTTAGAAAAAAATCAATTCAAAATGACAATGAATTTTGATTTTTTCTTTCATTCCACATCTGGAAATCCTGCCATGAGAAACAGACAGAAATTTATTGATTTTTTTTAATTTGAAATTGATTGCATTGTAATCACATAGTTAGAGAGAGAGAGAGACAAATCAATCAAAAAGCTTTTTGATTGATTGATTGATTGAATTTCTTTTTTATTATTAAATTATCATTTCTGGATAAAACCAAAAAACTCTCACACAGGATGACAACAACAAAAAAAAACGCCACCAAAAAAAAGTATAACCAATATTTGTTTCTTGTCGATTGTTTAATATAAATTTTTTTTTCTTTACCTGCGATGATCTGTCCAAAATTACCAATCTAACACCTGTGTGTGTGTTTTTTTGCTTTCTTGCTTTTTCTGGTTTGATGATTCGACTAATTTGATTCAAAATGATCAATTGGCAATCACTGATTGGTACCGAAATTATTTTCAAAGAAACAAAAAAATGGGTGTTATTTTTTTTTTGTTTGTTTTTGTTTTTGTTTGTCCAATTAACCCTAATCTATTTTGATTTTGGAAAACAGTAATGGTTGGATGAATTCAAGTAAAGGGCAGAAAGAAAAAATCGATCGATCGATCGATTTACTTCCTATTTTGGCCTCGAATTTGATCGATATATTCATTTCGATATGGATAGAGAACCCGTTTTTTTCCTATTTCGTCTTCGTCTTCGTCAAACAAACAAACAAATTAACTTTAACTAAAATCAGTTAAGATTAATTATCTATATTTTTTGTCCCTCCAGGTACATAAAGAGTTAAAATAACCTTGATTTTTACTTCAGGAAGAAAAAATAAACAGTTCACCTGTTTATGATGATGATGATGATGATGTGTGATGTATTTGAAAATTCAACATCTGTCATCTGTCTCAATTTAATAATTTGATGATCGTTTCGTTTGTTGGCCATAATTAGGCCATTTTTTTTGATGGATGGCCAAAGAGTGAAGGAAATTTTCCAAATTTGGTTCTGTTTTTTAAATTTTTTTTCAAAAATTTTTCATTTTTTTCATTCCAAAATAGGAATAGTTTTTCAATGACCACCACTATTGAACATCCAAAAAACTTTTCATTTTTTCCTTGTGGTTTTGGTCTTGGTCATTGGTTTTTTTCCATGTTTAATCAAAACAAAACAAAAAAACCTGGATTTGAAATTTCCAAAACAGAAAAAATTTCCTCGAACAGTTTTTTTTTGGTTGGTGGCTGAAGGAAAATTTCCAACAACAACAACAACCACTAATGTTGAAATAGGAAAATTTTTTTTCTCCAAATCGAAAACAAAAAAAAAACATTCGAATCGAATCAATTTCCTTCATTGTTTTTTTTCTTTGTGTGTGTTCGATTTTTGTTTTTCATTAAAATTCCAATAAAAAAATGAGAAAATTTTGATTTTATGAAAACAAAAATCACAAATATCCTAAAAACAACATTATCCATGATCAATTTCAGGTAACAGCAACAAATTCATTTTTTACCTGAATCTCGAAACATCCTTCTTCTCTATCATTTTCAATTGATTGATTGATTGATTGATCTTAATATTTATCACATAACAACTCAATAATCATGATTAATTTTTTATCAATAATAGAAAAAAATGCCGCCATCACCACATAATCATACATATTTTTTTGTATGATTGTTAATACAAAACATCTACATCATTTTTGTTTTGTTTGTTTTTTCGTTAATCGTATGATTTAATTGTTGAAATATAATGGTAATGGTAAAAAATGAAATCAAATCAAATATCAAATATCTCCTCCTATTTTTTTTCTCTCTCTTTTTTAGTTTGTTTGATCATGATAATTTATAAATTGCGGTTTCTACATACATCCATACAATTGTACAGTTTGTTTTTTTTGTGTGTGTGTGTTAACACACACAAATATTTAGTTGCTGTATATTTTGACTCTGTTTTTCCATGCATGTGTTTCGATAATGATGATGTTGATCATCATCATTTGCCATTTAGACGTACGACTGTATTGTACGTTGTGATTTTTTTTTTCAACAGAAATTTTTTTGTCCATGTTTGTGATAATTAAAAAAAAATTGCTTTCTTTTTTTTTTTATTTTGAATCAAATGAAAAATTTTTAAAATAAATTGAATTAATAATTTCTGTTAATAATAGTGTGATATCTATTGTGGTCATTCAATCAAATCTTTGGTGTACCTGTCCCACTTTGTAATCATCAAGCGATAGGATTTTTTTCTTTTTTTGGATTTCATCGTAAATTCATTTTTCAATTATAATCAATTACGATTTGATTCTCGATCCTTCGATTCATATAATACGATTCAACATCATCATCATCATCATCATCATCATTCAAAAATGAAATTAAAAAGTCTTAAAAATTATGTTAATAAACGTAAAAATAATAATGAAAATAAAAAAAATCAATCAAAAAATGTATCATATGATACAATATCATTGGCAGGTAATTGGTTTCATAAAGAATTAAATGAATCAAGAAGAAATTCTCGTTCAAATTCAATAAGTTCAACACGTACCTATATAATTGATAGTTCAACATCAACATCTTCATCATCATCATCATCATCATCATCATCATCATCATCATATGGCCGATTATTATCACAACATTATGGACACAATTCTTATTCATCATATGAAGATGACGATTATGATAATGATAGCCACAGCCACCACCACCTAACATCGGAAAAATTGAATCATTTAAATACTATAAATTATATGTCATCTTCATCACCATCGATATCGTTCCATCAACATCATAATCATCATCACGTTAGGAGTTATTATATATAGCTATAGCTCCTTGTTTAAAATCGACATTTAAAAAAATCGAATAAAAACAAATTAGTGATACAAACAAAAAACCGGCCAATATTTCATTCATGGATCTCATCCACCAACCTCTACAACAAAAAAAAAAATCCATTGATTGATTTCGATCTCGAATGGCTTTCGATAAAAAAAAATTATTTATTTTTCATTTCAAATAATAATGACTTTCTATCATTTTCAAGATGGCCATCCATTCTTATCTGACAATTTCATTTTTAATTTTTATTATATTGATAATTTGTATTAAGAAAAAACAATTGTGAACTGATTTTTTTTAAATTATAAATCCTTATACAATGTGCATTGCGCTCTATCTTTGTGTTATTTTTTTTTGTAATATTGAAAATTATTTTATTGCTTGGATTTCAATTACAATCCTAGTCATGTAATGAAATAAAATAAATTTTTAAAACAAAAAATAATAAAAAGATTTTTGATTTATTCTTGATTTTTTTGGAAATAAATTTAAATTTAAGCGATACTAGCGCCATCTATTGGTTATTTAATAAACTACGAACGACTAAATTAAAAAAAAAAGGAAAGCACAACAACATTCGAGTGTGATAGGCACCACCGGGATTTGAACCCGGGACCTTCTGTTCACTTGTAATCTCTTCAGTGAAGATAATTACTAGACAGACGTCCTAACCAACTGGACGATGGCGCCTTGATCTCTTGATTCGATGTTATTTGCTTTTTAAACCAACCAATTGACAATTCGAAGTTCAACCAGTTCCAATTGAACCACAATGGCCAAGTGTTAGTTAAAATGATGATAATTAATGATTTTCATTGAAAACATATATTGAACGTTTTAAAAATATTTATTTATTTAAACAACATACAATTTATGTTGATACAATGACTTTATAGAATATATAGATTAAAACATAAACATAAACATAAACGGACAACAATATATAATCGATAAATATAAAATAAATAAATAAATGACACAAAATTAGTGAAATTATTGATTAGAATTTGAATTAGAATAAACGGATCACAAAATATTTGTTTGTTTTTTTCAAAATTAACGATAATCATAATGAGAAAATGAGAATTGTGGTTAAGGTTGAAGATTTTGAGGATTGGACGAATAATAAATATTAAATCGGTGGTTAATAATATATAATCAGTGTTCGGATTTGAATATCTTTTTTCTTTCTTTCTTTTGATTATTAATAGCTACTACCATAGCCACCACCACCTGAACTGATGGACATACTATAACCACCACCTGATGAACCACCTCCATAGCCACCACCTGAAGAACCACCTCCATAGCCTCCACCTCCATAGCCACCACCTGAAGAACTACCACCATATCCACTAGATGATCCACCTCCATAGCCACCACCTGATGATCCACCTCCATAGCCACCACCAGAGGATCCACCTCCACCTCCTCCGCCAAAACCTCCGCCGCCACCACCGGCACCAAATCCCCCTCCGCCGCCGCCGCCACCACCACCAGCATTACGTGCAACAATAGTTTCAACACTTTCACGTACAGGTTCAACAGTTTGTGTAACACGACGAAATGGTGAAATAATTTCACGAACTTCCTGAATGATTGGTTTAGTAACAGTATGAACTAATTTATGTGGTTCATCTTGGCTATGACTTTGTCGATATGATCCGGGTGCTGATGAATGTTTTTGTGCAACATTTACCATTGATGATGCGGAACGAAAAATAAAATTTACTGGAATGAAATTAGCTGGCACATCGATTGTTGTTGGATTAATAAAACCCGAGCTTGGTACATCGAATTGACGAATTTGATGATTTGAAATAACTGCAGCTGGTACTAAAATTCCACCACCACCACCACCGCCTCCGCCACCTCCAAAGCCTCCGCCACCTCCGCCGCCGCCTCCGCTATAACCACCACCGCCACCACCACCATAAGACATGGCAGCTGACATACCCAGGATAGTAGAAAGAATTGTTAGCTGTGAAAAAAATTGAAAAAATTAAAAAAAATATTTCAAAGTTTTTCAGGTTCCATGATTACTTACCCGAAACATTATTATGTGATGCAAAGGATCGAATAATCGAATTGAATGTGAAAAAACGAATTATTGATTTTGATTTTTTGAATCAAAATGAAACTTATTGTTGTCAATGGTGATGTATGATGATGGTGGTTGGTTTATCACTGAAATGAAACCAAAAACACTTTGGATTTTTGGATTGGATTTGTTTTTTTTTCAAATAAATCAATCGACAACGGTATTTATACTATGATGATTTGATTTGATTTGATTTTTTCATTTCATTTCCAATAAAAAAAGATTCAAAAGAGATAATCTAATTAATCAAAATATCTCTTTTTTTCAGTTCATCAGATCAAACACACACACACATAGTGTTAATTATTTAAGCAAAAAAAAGGGTTTAATAATCCATTATCGAAAATGAGTGTGTGTGTGTGTGTGTGTGAAGGGAGGAGAATAATGTCACCGGTAATTTCATTACTCAATATTGTTTGGATCAAAACAAACAAACAGAAAAAAAAGGTTAATTATGTTTAAACACGAAACAATTTCAACAACAACAAAAAAAAGTTTAAATTTAATAATTATAATTCGAAATTTTTTTAAAAATTGGAATTTTGTTGTTTGCCTTTGGAACTTATTTTTTTTTCTTCTTTCTTTCAGAAGGAAAGGGGAAAAAACATATTGTTGTTGTGGTTGTGGTTAATTAAGAAAGATTTTTTTTTAATTAAATTTTTATTAAAGTTTTTGACAATTAATAATTATTATTATTAACTGTAAAACTGTCAAAAAAGTATTCAAATTTTTTTATTTTCCTCAATTATATTCGATATAATAATATAAAAACAACAACAACAACATCTATTCATGTATGTCATGAATTATATAAAAAATGATTTCAATCAATCAATCAATCAATCATTGATTGACCTTAACCTCCGTCATTATCATTATTATGATTTTTTTTTGTTTGTTTTTGGTTTTTGAAAATTTAATTTTTTTTTTGATTTTAACAATAAAAATTTTTCAATTTTTATTATTATTATAATTTTGTTTTTATTTTTATTGATTTGTTTATTTGACAACAAAAAAATTATTTAAAAAAAAAAAATTATAAACAGGAAATCATTTTGACGATATAAAGCGGGCTATTAATTATTATTTACAATTTGTGAAAGTTTTTCCATAATATTTTTTTTCCTTTGGTTTTTTTTCGTTCGTTGTTGTTTTTTTTTGAAGAACATAAAAGAAAAAAAAAGAAAAGAAAAAGAATGTTTCCAACTACTACTACTGCTACTATGATGATCATCGTTATATTGATATTGATGATGAATCCAATGATGATACAAGCACAAAAAAATGATCCATCATTTATGCCAAACATTATGCCAATTACAAATACAGTTAATCGTACCGGTGTACATCGTGTTTATTGTTCAGCTAATCAACAAGTATTAAGTCAAACAACAACATTTGCTGTTGTTAATAATCGTCTTTATCAATTTCAATATGATATGAGTGTTATTATATTTGAAGATTTAGATGCATGTTATAATGATGATCAGCAACGTTTTTTTCTTGATGTCGGTACACGTTATGAATTGATGGATGAATGGAAACACATGTTACAAGTAAATTTAGATTATTATGGACGTTATAATTTTATATTGAAAAATGTACCAGATGAACGTAGTTGGCGTATTACAATGGCAATGGTAACAAATTCATTATATGGTGCTGGATTTTTTTCATATCTTGGATTTTCAAGATATTTTTATCTATTATATGTTGAATGGGATAAAAAACCACCAGCAACTAGTACTGATGTTGCACAAACACAGCATATTGTTTTATTAAATTATTCAATTATAATATCAATATCGGCTGAAACACAATATTATGCATTAGTTTTGATAAATAATCTTGGTGAAGATAATGTATATATTTATCAACAATTAGTTAATGATCGTACAATGCCAAGAGGTATATTCTGTGAAAGTGAAACTGGTGAAACATTTTTTCATCAACGCAAACCAAAAGATAATTGTCAAACAAGTGCACAATTATCACAAATGTTAAGAGAATTTGATCATGGTTTTACTGCAAAAAAAAATCTTTATTTAGTTGCAATGGATGAACAATATGTTATTGCTATTGATGCTGAAGTATTGAAATCATATGATATAGAATATCCATATCAAAAATTTTCATTAGAAGATGTATTTAGTTGTAACGCCGCAAGATCACCGGCAATTTATCCAACATTATATCCACCAGGATCACAGCCACAATCACCACAACATGAATCAATTGATTTGCCTGAATCTGGTACTGATAGTCAAACATGGTTATTTACACCAACAGTATGGTTAATTATTGTTAGTTTGAATTTTGTTCTAGTCATATTGAGTGGATCATTATGTTTATTATATGTATCAAGACGAAAACTTCGTGCAAGACATGGTGATAGAGGTGGAGTTGGTGCATTATGGTCATCATTATCATCATCATCAGCAACATCCGCAGGTTCTTCAGTATCAAGAGGATCATCAATATCAGCATCAGGCATAAGTAGTTCATCAGCATCATCATCAAGAGCATCAAGAGCATCATCATCATCAACATCATCATCATCAACATCAGGAATAAGTAGTAGTACTACTGGTGCATTTTCATCTACATCCAAAGCTGGTAGTGGAATATCATCAATATCAGGTGCACAATCATCAACAGCAGCATCAGGATTTGGGTCAAAAACGAGTGGTGGTAAAGGAAAATTCCGTAAGAAAAAACATGGTAAAAAGAAAAAATATAAGGTATCAACATTTGGAGGATCGAAATTTTCAAAATCAAGCGCTATATCATCAGCAATGTCATCTAAATCATCATTAACGAAAAAAGGTTCAAAAATCAAATGGAAACAATCATCATCACCGAAAAAAGGTTTCTATAAGAAAAAGATTAAAATTAAAAAATTTAAAATGAAAAGATAAGAAAGAACAAATTCCTGTTGAAAAAAAAATCAAAATTTTAAACAATTGGAAAAACAAGACCAACCGTCGAACCCCGACCACACGCACACAAACAAACAAAATTATCCATTTTGATTCAGGAGAAAGAAATATTCATAAAAAAAATTATCTCATAATTATTTAATTTGAAAAAAAAGAACAGCAAAAAAAAAATTCACACAATTTGTTGCACACACACACACACAGACACAAAAAACAATTAAACAATTTTTTTTCTTGTTTCACCCAGTTTGAATATCATTTCTTTGAAAACGGGGGAAAAAAAATATATATCAGATCTTATTGGCTACTAATATTACAATGATGTTTTTGATTTGTTGTTTCAGTTGTTGATTGTTGTTGTTGTTGTTGTTCGTTGAAAATATTATCAACATTTTTTGATGATGATGATGATAATGAATTTCGTGATTGACCAGTAGCCGAATTATTTTGTTGTTGTTGTTGTTGTTTGATTGTAGATAATGATGGTGGATATCCAAGTTCAAAATTAGATGTTGTTGTTGTTGTTGTTGTTGCTGAATGATGTGCACGTGCCCATTCACACATTAATTGTCCAGCATATAATGGATTAATTGAATAAAGCCAATTATACATTTCTCTTGATGTTGATGTACGAAATAAATAACCAGCATGTTTAGTTATAATTGAAAATGCATTTTCAACACATAACATTTGTCGTTGTTGTTCTGAACATTCAACACGTGCTTGTGTTAAATTTATTATTGAACGTTCAACAGTATCTTTATCATCACGATATATAAACATATATGGTCGTCGTACAACAATCCATTGTTTTTGCCATTGTGTTGGTTGTTGTTGTTGTTGATCATCATTTAATTGATTTGATGATGATGATGATGATGAATATTCATTTGCCATCAAACAATTAATATAACCTTTTTTTGATATAATTGATGATACACGAACTTCTTCAATTTCTGGTATAAATAAATTATTATTATTATTATTACTTAAAGATGTTGGTGATATATCATCAATTATCATTCCCATTGGACTATTACTATGGCTATGTATAGATTGATGTGTGGATTGTTGTTGTTGTTGTTGATAATGATGACGATTAGTTTGATTGAATGATAATTTTTCACGTTCAAACCATGATTCAACTGTCAAACCGGATATTATAAAATTTTTATCCGGTGTAATACTAGTACCATAGCCATCTGGTGTTGATCCATTTGATCCACCACCACCAATATTCCATTCGGTTGGTGTTCGTAATAGATTTGATGATGAACCGGCTGGTGGTGGTGGTGGTGTTTGAAATATTGGTGCCGGTTGTGATGGTATATGAAATTGTATTAATTTCAAACATTTTGTCACTAAATTACGATCATGTTCGGAATGAAATTCTTCAACTTTTTCTCTTTCCAAAAGTGTTTCAATTCCAGCCGAAAATGTTGATGATCGTGGAATGGCTGTAGATTTTGTTGATGCAGAGCTTAAAGCTAATGTTTTGTTCGATGATAATCCTCCATCAATATCAACAGTAGTAGTTACTACCGGTGATATTAATGCATGTGTTGTATTATCACTTGTAACAGCAGATAAATTTGAATTGGCCAATGCAGCTAAACCTAATCTTGATGTACTTTTACGCATCATACCAGTTGTTATTGATGATCGTATCGCTTTTCCGGGTAAATCATTCAATTCATCTTCATCAAATGATTTTGGTGTTGTTGTTGATTTAGCTGTGCGAATTAATAATCGATGACGACAACGTTCAACCATTTCTAATCGATATAATTTTTCTAATTCCCATTGATGATCAAATATTAATGAATCACCACGTGGTTGCCAACTGCCAAGATTTTCTTGTCCACGTACATACATTGTTGATGTATCTAATACACGTCTTTGACGACGTTGTACACCTGGTGAACCAGCTTCTAATGATCGTCTTAATACCAATTCAAATATAGCCATTATATGATTTAATTCAGCATTTTTATATGAACCGGTTAGGATATTTTTCAATACACGTGTTGACAATCCAGAACCATGTGAACCACCTGTCAACAATGATGGAATCGTACGAGAATCACGACCATAAATTATTATACATAAATCTTTTGTAAGAATTCCTGGTTGACTACAGCGATCCAAATCTAGATATGCAGACATTGTAAGATAAACACGTTCACCACTAGGCGTTACACGATTTAATAATAATGAATTATGTAATGAACTATCCCATGCTGCTTCAAAACGAAAACGTTCACGACCATCATCTAATGGTTCAAGATGTTCGGAAAAAAATAATGATAATGATAATACTGATGGATCATTTTCATCATCAAAATCTGAACAATCAGGATATGTACGAACACGACCAATAACTAATTCACGTAGATCACGAAAATGAATATCAAAATCCGGATGATTCATAATTGTTACACGAATTCTTCGTTGAATTCCTTGATGTAATAAAAATGTTCCACGACATGGTGTATCATCATTATGATCAACAACAACAGGTAAATATTGTCCATCAGGTGTTAATTCACATACTTCAATCCATACGGTTAAATCAATTTTCGAATGTACTAATGATGTTGATGCCGATGTAACACGTGAAGCCATAATTTGCCATTGATTAACTAAACCAGGTGTAAATCTTGGTGATCTTATTGGTGTCGATATTGGTAAATATGAAGTTAGTTGCATTCGTTTTGGTGGTGGCCGTGGTAATCCAATTTGATTTTGATCCATGTTCATTGTTGTTGATTGGCCAATGTTTCGAAATAACCATTTATTATTATTATTATTATCACTATTCGCGAATATAGCTTCACGATGTAATGGATGATGTTGATAATGACCATATAATTCAAAAATTAATGGTTCTTGTTGTAAATAATCAATGAATGCTTGTGTTACACGAACGGATATATTTTGTGACCAATAAAAATTAGCTGAACGACCACCATTTTTACTACCACTGGAAGTATTTTTTATCGATTCGGTTGAAAATGCTTCATTTGAACGATGACGAAAATTAAATTGACAAAAAACATCAGCATATGATTTGGATAAACCATAAAGTTGAATAATTGATACACGAAACATAAAATCTTCATTCAATTTTAAATGATCAGGAATTGAATCATTTTGTTGTTGATTTTTTTCATCCATTGTCGTCGTCGTCGTCGTTGTTTCATCTTCATCTTCATCTTCATCTTCATCTTCACATTCTACTTCTTTTTCATCAATTTCTCCTTCTCCAGATGATGATAATTTAACATTTTGATCATTGATTTTTGGTATTAATCTTGATAATTTTCGTTTTAATCTTGTACGTTCAATTATTTCCTGTAAATGTTGATCATCATCCGCAAAATCAATTCTAGCATGTTGTTGTATTTTTGGCCGTTTATCCGAATCATCAATCGCTGCGGATAGATCTTTTTCTATAAGAAAAAAAAAATAAACAAATTGTCAATGTAATGATTACCGAAAACAAAAATCATTCAAAATTTTTACCTGTTAAAGGTTGTATAGATACTTTTAAATAACCCATAACATCACCTTTTTCATTTACAATCGATATACATTGTGTTATTGAACAATTTTCAAATAAATTTTGTAAAAACATTAAACCACGACCAATAAAACGAAACCAAGGAAAACGATCATAAAATGGATCACTTGTTTCAGTTTCAACTGTTCCATTAATAATACTATTTGCATGATAAATTGTAACACCAGTACCACCCGCATTATTTCCACTTGGAATTGTTCCATTCAATTGATGATATGATGCGGATGATGTTAATGATGATTGCAATGAATTTGATACGTTTGATGATGTGGATGATGATATAGAACTACTAGTAGCCGCTGCAGCAATAGCGGCAGAATATTCTTCCGCATATTTCGAATATACTTGACGCATTAATTCCAAACGTTTTCTATAAATAAATGAAATTAATTTTAAAAAAGTAAATTAAAAACTTTCTTCAAAAAACATACCTTAATTTAATTAATGACCAATAATGTGTGGCACCATTTTTCTGATCTTTCACTTCGACAGCAACTATTGTTCGTGGAAATGGATTTTCATTGAAAACATTGGTAGTGGTGGTGGTTGTATTTGTGCAACAGGTATTAACCATACCAGAATCTGATTGTAAATCTATAGAATTTTGTTCAGAATTAAATTGATCACGATAATCGATTAATAAATCAGCCATTAATGGTGAATAAATTGTATCGGTCAATATAACAAATTGAAATTGTACACGTTTTTTCAATTCAACTGACATTGCATTAGCTTCTTTTAAAAATATTGCATTACCCCATAAATCATCACGTAATGATGTAAATTGATGATAACGCCATTTTAATAATGCTTTTCGTACAATTGATTCTTGCCAAAATGTTAATGGTGATTCACATTGCATTTGAAAAAATATTGAATCCGATTCAGGAAATAGACGACGATGTTCAGCTTCAGAATTATCATCATCATTATCATCATCATCATCATCAATACTGCTATCATTATCACCACCATATCTTGAATGATGCATTGATGAAAACATTTGTGACATTGTCATTGATTGTTCATTTACTTGTTTCTGTAATCGTTCGATTGTTTGTTCATAATTTTTTTTTGCTTCTTCAAATGTTAAATCAGCTTCAGCTTTTTCACGACGATATTGTTCTTCTAATTGTAATAATTTTTTTTCCATTTCTAATTTTAAATCGATACCTTGTTTTTCTAATAATTCCATTTGTGCAAATGTCCAATCAACAGCTTGTTGTTGTTGATTAGATGTTATTGTTGTTGTTGTCGAGATTAATGAATCTTGTATTGGATCTTTTGATCTAGATTCACGAACCTGTCCTGGATGTTGAAAACGGAAGACATGATATTTTCCAAGAATAACACGTGCACCTGTACGTAATTCTTGACAATTTTCAACACGACGACCATTTACAAAACAAAGTGCATCCAATGAACATGGTATTAATTTTACTGTTCCATTACGATTTTCAAATATACAATGTTCAAGAAGAATATTTGTACCTGATAAACGAATATCTTGTGCAATACGTGCACCATCTTGACCGACACGTGTTTCACCATCTTTTAGATAATATAATAAACATTCAGACATTAATGGATCTTCATTTAAATTCAATAAATGTGGTGTATTAATTGGTGAAAAAACACCAACAGCATCACCATCGGCACGTCTAGCAACACCCATTTCAGCTAAAACAGCTTCACGTTGTGCACGAATTTCTTCAGTTCTTTTCAATTTTTCTTCCCATGTTGCATTCAATTCGGACATTAATTTTTCTGTTTCATGTAATTGTTCAATGATTACATTTTCACCTGTTATCGATATTGAACTTTGTTTTAATTTTGGATGATGATTATCATTTTGATGATCTTGTTGTTGTTGTTGTTGTTGTTGAATATCTATTATAGAATTATCAAAAATATTATTATTATTAGCTTGATCAGATTCATCAATATTAGCCGTTAGATTTTGTTGTTGATCCTGTTGTTGTTGTTGTTGTTGTTGTGGTTGTTGTTGATTTTGTTGTTGTTGTTGTTGACGATCATTATTATCATTGATAATCATCATTGAATTCAATTTATTTGATTGTTCCAATTGAATACCTTCAGCCAATAATATTGTTTTTAAACGGGCAATTTCATCACGTAGTTCACGTATTAATTTTGCATTTGCATCTTCATTGATAATTGCAGTACACATAATCTGTTTTGCTCGATCAGCATATCTTAATGTTGATAATGTTTCTTCATAATTAATATCGGCCGGTGATATAGCAGCAATCATTGCTGTTTTGGAATTTCCACCAAGATTTTCTCTTAACAACCATGTAAGTACTGAATCACGATATGGTATAAAATCAGATTTTTTTGATTTCTTTTTTTTCGCTGGATCCTGTGATGACTGAAAACAAAACCCGGAAAAATTTGTTAGAAAAACAAACATTCATTTGAAATAAACAATTTTTTTTTTGAATAATTACCAATTCAGCTAATGCTGATATAACTTTACCCAATGTTGTTAATGATTTATTAATATTGGCACCTTCTTTTAATCGTGTACCTTGTGCACCGGTTGAATCAGCACGTTCCGATCCAGCTAAATCAACCAAAGAAATTTTTGATACTTTTTCCGATGATAAACCGGTAAGATGATCTTGTTTCATTTGTGTCAAAATAATTGTAAATACAGCATGTGATCTTGATGATGTTTCATTCATATTTGTTGCTGCTACTGTACGTGCTTTATTACCTTCATCAATAATTTCATGTATATCTTCATATGATGTAACAGCTAATTTACTTAAATCTTCAACATATGGTCCTAAAACTGGATGTTCACGTACACGTAATGGTCCTTTAATTTTTGGATTTAATAAATCACGTACACGTTCACAATATATTTCCATATATGATACTTCAACTGAATACATTGTATCATCTTCATTATTTGAATTTGTATCATCCGAATGGCTAACAATACGATCAAATAGATCACGACATAAATTTGGTATAATACCATCATCATCACGTGCACCCATCATTGTATATGATTTACCAGCACCAGTTTGTCCATATGCAAATATACAAACATTATAACCTTCAAATGAATGTTTTAACATTTCAATACCAATATCTTGATATACTTTCCATTGATCAATAAAATTTGGATCATTTGGTTCATGTGACCAATATGAATAATCAAAGGTAAATGTTTTTGATTGATTTTCAATTTTTGGATTTATTATTACTATCAAAACATCAAAACAAAACAAAAAATCAATTAAATCAATCGATCAATTAGCAAAACTTACTTGTTGTTTTATCCGTCATTGAAATAATATTCTTACAACCATAACCAATTTCACGTTTATTAAATGGCCGTACACGTACGGCTACTTTAACTGATGACATTTTTTCAAATTAATCAATCAATCAATTTATCGCTTTAAAGAAGAATTTAGATATGATGATGATGATGAATATTGCAACAAAATAAAGAAAATTATCACAACAACAAGCAAAACAGAAAAAATGATGTAAAATTCTGATCTGTTTTTTGTTTTTCAAAATTCAGTTTCGGATATGAAATTTTTACAATTTCTTATCATCATCAACAGACAATAAAAATAACTTATCATTTTCTGGATCATAAATTTTCCTTTTCCATTAAAGATATATCTCTTGAATTTCTTATTCAGTTAATAATGATGATATTACCAGAATTAAAGCAATAATGAATGAATGAATGGTGGGAGTAATATTTGACGCCAACGACTGGAATAAACGAGAATATTAAATAGAAAAAAAAATAAATAAATAACATTAAATAATGACAACATAAACAACAACAACAACAATAATAATAATAATAATCAAAACTGAGAATGTGTTTTGGTTCCAATTGGAACAACATAAAGAAGAGAGAGATAGAGAGATACCACTACCACTACAAATGACGCCGACGCCATCTATTTTACGTAAAGAATTTGAAATGAATTGAAGAAAAAAAAGTTCCAAGTTGGATCTTTTTTAGCTGAAACCAGAATTCTGTTTATGGTTGTTGTTGTTGTTTTTCATATTCTGCGGCGCAGAATCCAAAAAAAAAAATTTTTCATTATGAACGAATGCGACAAACAACAACAACAGCAAAAACATATCGTAAGTTATATAAAATGTGTGTGTAATACGAACATTTATATTTTTTTCCGAAAACAGAATTTGGGAATCCCAACAAACCAAACGAAAAAAAAATTTTGATCCAAAGATGCAATTATTTTGCGTGAGGGGGATGAAAAGATGATGTGATGTGGTGATGTCAAAAAAAAAATTGACATTCGAAAAGTGATGGGCGATCATCATTATTTTTCATTATAACTATCGATATATCGATGATAATATTATTTGAATGATTTTAATTTTTCCGGATGATTACAAAATCCTAAGATTTTGTAATATTTTTTTGTGAAAAAAAAATTAGTTATCAAAATGAAGAAAAAATTTCACTGCAAACAAATTCACGAATTTTTAATTTTTTTTCCCCACCGAGAGTTAATCAAAATTAATTATTTTTGTAAAAATTAAAAAAAAAACAATATCAAAAACAATGCTCATCATCATTTAATTTCGATAACAACAAAAAAAACAATCAATAAAAAGAGTAATTAATTAATTTCAATTCAATTTTTTTAAAATTTTGTTGTTGTTGTTGTTGTTGTTATAGGTTATCACTCTACTTGTATGTCCACAATCATCACCAATTTTTTTTTCTCTCTCACTTTCTTCCACGTTTTCGTTGTTTTATTGAACGTTTTTTACGTTTACTATCATCATCATTTGATGGTGCATGTGGTGCATTTGAATGTATTTGCGTATCACAACTTAAATATTCGGTTAATTTTTTCTTTATAAATGAAAAATCATTATCAAATATTGATAATATTCTACGATTAATTATAATAGCTTGATCATCATGTGTTGAAGCCAATATTAAATCCGAAAATGATGTAAAACCAAATTGAATTGATTTTAATAATTCTTTTATATTTTTATGTGAATTAGTTTTACTATCACTACCATCATAACGATCACAATTACCATGACTAATTAAACGAAGTGTATTGGCTTTTTTATATCCTAAACATAATTTACCAAAATATGGTACATCCATATACATTTCATTAATGAATAATAAAAATTCATTACTTTCAGTATGATAAGCAATTGAATAAAATCTTGCTACAGCCGAAATTGGTATTGTACGTGTTAATTTACTAGTCATTTCATATTCAAAACGATATTTTGGTCCAGAATCAATATCATTGTAATTTTGTGAACACATCCATGATTGATAATCGCTAACCATTATACTTGAACGCCATTCAAAACCGATTGGCGATCTTGTTAATGACATCCACAAACGATTTGTTGAATTAATGGATGGAAAATAATGTAAAATAAATTCAGAACGTTTACGATAACCACCAAGATGAATTATTTCTGGTTCAATTCTTTCTAAATCAACTTTAGAACCTTCAATCAAATGTAATGTATTTGTTTCTGTTGAATATTTTTTTCTTGATTTTGGATATATTGTAACAGTAAAATCAGAATTAAATTGAAAAATATGATCATCACAAATTGAAATACCAATCGTATTATCAAGATCACCTTTTGATGCACCACAATCAATACGTTTTGAACTGGTCAATATTTCTGATGGTAAATTCCATGGTATTAATCTTGATTGAAACACACTTTTACCATGAAAAAGATTAAAAACAATTTGTCTTGATGGTACTGGTGAATCATCATCATCGTTATCATTTTGATTAATAGGAACATTACCAAAAACATTTTTAATCAACAATAAATTATTGATTAATAATAATGTTATTAATGACAATAATAATGATGATTTCATTTTTTTCTTTTGTTCGTTGGTTTGGTTTGATTTGGTTTTGTTTGCTTTGAGAATGGAAATCAGTAATCAGGCAACAACAGAGCAAACAAACAGAAAAAAAATTTGATTTATAAAAATAAAAACAAAAAATTCAAATCAGCTTTTAGAGAGAGAAAAATAGAGAATAAAAAAAGATAAACGAAAAAAAAAAACAAAAAACAGAAACTTTCAAATAAATTATTAATTATTTTCAAAATGTTAAAAAGTTGTTCAATTTATATGATCGGTTTGAACCAAAAGCAAACAACAAAACAACAAAAACAAATTCGTATTAATTCAATTCTATTTTAATTATAATTTTATTTATTGATTTTCAATTCTTGTTGTTGTTGTTTGATGGATTAGTTTTGTTTGAAAAAAAAAATTTTTTGTTTGTTTGTTTTGTTTCATTGTTCTGTTTCTTTTGAATCACAATTAAAAAAATCTTCGGACATTTTAATTCGAAATGGAAATTCTTTATTCACTGTATGTAGAATATTTTTATCAATAATTAATACTAAATTTTTTTCTTTTGATACTAAAATAAGATCGGTAATTATTGTAAAACCATATTCAAATGATTCGAATAAACTTATTAATGAATCGGACATTGTTTGATATTGTTCATGATAAACACAATTATCCATTGTTGTTATTTGTTTTAATAAATGTGTTGATTGTTTTCCATAACATAATTTTGATATTTGTGTTGTTAGATTAAAATCTAATACTTTTATATCATTTTGGCCATATTCATGTACAATATTTATTGCAATATTATCAAATGAAATTGGTATTAGATGATAACTTTTTGGTGATGGTAATGATTGATAATCATAATGATAATCATCTGAAAATGAACAACCATCAATTGTTGATGAAAATTCGGAAACATACCAAAAATGATTAGCACACAAATGCATTCTAACTAAAAATTTAAAACCAATGTATTGTCGCCAAATTAATGATGTTGTTAGAACTTTTAATCGTTCGTATGAATACGTTTCAAAAATACATGAAAGACGTTCGTGAAAATTACCCATATTATTTATTACTGGTATAAGTTGATTCACACCAATAGTAAAACCACCATAAATAGAAAGTTTTTGCTCTTTTTTCAAATATCGTTCACGTATATTATCATACATTATTACATGCAAGTTAAATTCTGGTCTCCTATTCAAAAAACGTTCCGTTAATGTTAATTTGAATTGAAAAATACGATTGAAAATAACAGCAAACGATGTTGTTCGATTCATTATATCGGGTTTATAACCACAATCAATATAATTATAATATTTCATTATATCGAATGTTGGATACCAGGTTTGTGTTTTGAATTGATCATAACCGCTTTTTTTTATATCATCACTTATACCATGTGAACTTAAAAATTCTTGCAATGTTACTTGTTGACTAAAATCGGGATAAATTATTATAATCATAATGATTAAACAATTATAAATGGATTTCATATTGGCTTTTTTCGTTTTTTCTTGGAATTTAGAAAAAAAACGTTTCTTTGATCGATTGATTAACTAGTTTTCTTTTTTCAAATGTTGAGTATTTATTTTTTCTTTATTGTTTTGTTTTTTCGATAAATAAATTTAATTTAAATTAAAACAATAAAATTATTTGAAACAGAAAATAACCGAATTATTAAAAAAAAGAAAAAAAAATTTTAATTTATATTCGATATATCGATTGTATCGATTATTTTGCGGGAAAATCAAAAATGATTAAGTTGAAAATTTTTTATTTATTCAATTCAACAATAAATTTTTTTCTCTCCGCTAAAAAAAACAAAAAATTCTATTTTATATTTAAAATTCTATTTTGTTTTTCGATAACAAACAAAAAAATCTTCTGCGTTTTTAATTTCATATGGATATTCTTTATAATGTGTAAGTAAAAGATTTTCATCAACAATTAATACTAAATTTTTTGTATTAGATACAAGTATTAAATCGGTAATCATTTTAAAACCATAACTAAATGCTTGAAAAAATTCAATCAATGTTTTTGTTGTTATATCATAATCCAAATTTTGATAATGACAAATTTCAGTTGCTTTTATTTGTGTTAATGTTTCATTTGTTTGTTGTCCAAAACATAATGATGATAAATGTGTTGTTATATTGAAATCGATAATTTTAATATATTCAGTATCAAATTCCCATACAATATTTAATGTTTGATTACCAAATGAAATTGGAATTTGTTGAAAAAATTGTGTAGGTTTTAATGCATGATAATTATAATGAAAATAATCCGTTGAATAACCATCTAATCTTGAATGAAATTCTGATGCCATCCATAAACGATCACAACATAATAATAAACGTATTGCTAATGTAAAACTTATATATTTTTTCCATACTAATGTTATTAATAAACGTTTTTTACGTTCGTCTTGAAAGGCATATATTAAATGTGATAAACGTTTTTGAAAATTACCTAAATCATTGATTTCTGGAACAATTTGATCAACACCCAAACGATAACCATTAAAAACATGTAATAAATGATCTTTTTTTGAATATCGTTCATGTACATCATCATAAATAATAACATCAACATATGATGCATAATATGGTGGTTCATAATGAGTAGGATATGTTGATAATTTAAATTGATAAATACGATTCATAATAACAGCAAACGATATTGTTTGATCAAATAAATCATAACCACAATCAATATAATTATATTTTTTCATTTGTTTTAATGATGGAATCCAGGTTTTTGAACCAAATTCTTCAATACCATTATCATCATTTGATTTATAGATACCATGTGAACGTAAAAATTCTTCATATCGTTGTAATGTAAATTGTTGAATAAATTCTGGATAAATTATCATTATTATTATAATGTTGACAATAAACATTGAAATGAATTTCATTTCTTATTTGTTTTTGTTGAGCGAATCGAGAAATACAATGTTTTAATTTTTCTTCATTCACATTCGAATGGTGAGTATTTATTTATTTTGATTTTTACAAAAATTGTTTTTTTTCCTGGTAAATTTAATTATTGAACAGAATCATTTGGGTATGAATTATGTGAAACAAAGATTTTTTTTTTTTGCTTGTTCATTGAAAATTTTCAAAATAATATTTTATTGTTTGTTTGTTTGTTGAAATTTTTTAAAATATTGAAAATGTTTTTTTTGTTTGTTTCCTTCATGTACATTTAATTGTTATTTATTTTGATAATTTTTTCATCATATTCACAAACAAAAAAATCATTTATATCTCGAATTTTATATGAATATTCTTGATTAAATGTACGTAAAAGATTTTGATCAACAATTAATACAAAATTTTTTTCACGTGATACAAAAATTAAATCGGTTATCAATGTAAAACCATAATCAATTGTTCTAGTTAAATTAATTAATGATTCGGTCATTATTCTATAATCATTTTTATAATAATTACATTTCTGTGTTGATGATATTTGTTTTAATGTTTTTGTTGATTGTTCACCAAAACATAATGATGATATTTGCATTGTTATATTATAATCTAATAATTTTATTTGATCTTTACCAAGTTCATGTGCTAAATTTAATACCTGATTACCGAATGTAATCGATATAAGATGAATATCTTGTTTTGGTTTTATTGATAGATAATCACAATAATATTTTAGATTTTCTGATTTACCATTCATTTCGGATTGAAATGCAGAATAAAACCAAAAACGATTACAACATAAACGAAGACGTGAAAATAATATAAAACTTTTGCTTTTATTCCATATTAATGATACTGTTAGATGTTTTTTTCGTTCGTTTGGATAGCTTTTATCCAGACTATTGAATCGCATTTCAAAATTACCAGTTATAGGAAATTTCGGTATAATGTCATTAACACAAGCACGATAACCATCAATTAGATAAAAACGATTTAATTCTGTTGAATATCTTTGTCGTACATCCTTATACATTATAACATCTAGATATGCCAATGAATCAGGATATCTTGATATTTTAAATTGATAAATACGATTCATAATAATAGCAAATGATACTGTATCATCCATTATGTTTGAATCATTTCCACATTTTATATAAGTAAATGTTTTCATTATATCGAATGTTGGATACCAGGTTTTTAGACCAAATTCATTATAACCATCATTATCATCATTTTTATAGATACCAAATGAACGTTGAATATTTTCATTATCAGTTATCGTTTTATTTACATCTTGTTTACTAAATGTTAAATAAATTATTATTATTATTATCATTATAATTAAAACATTATTAATGGATTTCATTTTTGTTTTCAATGAAATTTTTTTTTGATTGAAATTAAAAAATAATCATTCTATTTCCAAATGAATTCAGTATTTATATTCGATCAATTTTTTTTAAATTTAAATTTAATTGAATAAAAGTGAGAAAAAAAAATTCAATTTTTAAAGAAATATATTCGATTTTATTTAATTATCGATTGATATTGTGTGGTTATTGATCAGAAAAAAATGATAAATTAAAAAAAAAAAATTCACAATCACAATTCATTTGATTGATTACAAGATGGCAGATGATTACAAGTAAAAAAATCTCTAGCATTTCTCGTTTTAAATATAAATTCTTGATTAAATGTTGCGAAAAGATTTTGATCAACAATCAATATTAAATCTTTTTCACGTGATACTAATATTAGATCTGAAAAAATTGTAAAACCATATGTAAATATTTGAAAAAAATTAATTAATGAATGTGTCATTGTATCAAATCTATCATTATATTGACATTCTTCAGTTGATCGTATTCGTTGTAATGATCTTGTTGAATCTTTTCCAAAACATAATGATGCAGAATGCTTTGTTAAATTAAAATCAAGCATTCTAATTTGATAACTACCAATTTCGTAAACAATATTATATACACGATCACCATATGATATTGATATTAAATGATAATCTTGTTTTGGTCGTAATGAATGATAATTAAAATAAGTGATAGGTTCAGGTGTTATTGAATAACCATTCAGTTCGGATGGAAGTTCTAAAACCAACCAATAACGATTACAACATAATAATAAACGTATTAATATATTAAAACCTCTATATTTATGCCATATTAATGATATTTGTAAACGTTTTTTGACTTCATCAGGTAAACAATAAAATATATCCTTTCGACGTTTTCTAAATCTACCAAGTTCATTAGCATGCGGTACAATATTGAACAAATAAGTTTGATAACCACCATAAATATTTAATTGTTTATCATTCGATGAATATCTTTCACGTGCTTGGTAATATATTGTAACAAATAATTCTTTTTCAGTTGAATGAAATTGATAAATACGATTCATAATAGCAACAAACGAATCAGTCTGATCGTATAAATCTTTTCCACATTCAACAAAGTAATAATCTTTCATTAAATCGAATGATGGTAACCAAGTTTTTTTACCAAATTGATCATAACCATAGTCATCATTATTTTTATGGATACCAAAATCATAATAAAATTTTTTCTCATCTGTTGTTATTCCAGTTGTAAATTTTTGAAAAATTATCATTATCATCATCATTAACATTGAAATTTCGATAGGAACATTGTGAAGAGATTTCATTTTTTCTTGAAATTAAAATCAAACAAAAACAAAACGAAAAAATAAAAAATAAATTTTCGTAGATGATTAGTAATCGAATACAAAATGTTGAGTTTTTATATCCAATTTTTCTTTTTTTTTTTGATAAATTTAATCGAATAAATTTTGATTAATCAAATTATTAACTGAATCATTGAATCACCGGGTAGATTAGCCAATTTTCTTAAAACTAAATTTTTTCGACCATAAAGATCATATAGATGAAATTCAATACCAAATCGATTTAATGATTCTTTTAAGTAATTATTTTTCCATTGAAATTCAAATCGTTTAATTAATTCACTTTGTAATAATTGTGAATATTTTGATTTTTTAATAATCTTTAACAATTTTTCACGACCATTATTCAATGTTTGTACCATAATACCTAAACCGGCAAATGATAATTGTCGATGATTAAGATCATTTTTTGTAAGTAAACCTAATGATGATAATTTGGTTAAAGATTCGGATAAAAATCCAACATCATTCAATTGTTTATCACTATATTCTGTTTGTTTTATATTTCGTAAAATTTTTTCAATAAATAATTCGATAAATAAATTTTTTGATTTTGAATCTTTTTTCAAATGATAAATAAAATCATCAATTTTTATGATTGCATCATTTTCACGTGATGATTCTCCATGACAAACGATTCGAATCAAATTGTTGTCGATCATTTTTTCCAATTGAACATCAACTATGGATGTATCATCGAATAATGAATATAATTGATGACGCCAAACTATTGGTGGTAATGATCGTTCTTGCAACAACAATGATCGTTTACATAATTGTCGAATATATTCATAGGCATCAGCAACAGTATCAAAATCACCAATCGATTTGATATCTAATGACAAACAAACAAATCAATTTAATTTGTCCAAGTTTCTTTGCAATCAAAATTCTCTTACCAATTTGATTTGTTTCATTTTTTAATTTTTCCTGTATACATTTCTGTATACGTCGATGATTTTCTTCAAATTTTTCATCATCAATTTCATCTTCAGTACGTGAACAACTTGGTCGATTATCATTATCTAAAGTAATTTTTCGACGTTTCATCATTATTTTTTCAAAAAAAAATTTGACATCGATGTGAATTAAACAAATTATCCAAATAAATTTTAGAGAGTTATCATTCATTCGTAAAGGACGTATATTTTATTAAAATGTTCGAATAATTTAATATTACATTCGAATTTTTCGAAAACAATGGCGCTAAATTCAATATATTTTAAAATGATTTTGAAAATTTTTTTATTGATCGATTTTTTTAAAAGCTTAAAATTTACAAATTTATTTGTTGCCTTTTATTAAATGGGTTTATCTGAGTCATCATTATCACGATTTTCATCATCAACATCATCATCAGGATCATCGTTAAGATCATCGTCAAGATCGGCATCAAGACAAAGTGAACGACGTCGACGTTTTTCTTTTAGAAGGGAAGAAAAACCTAGTTCAAGGAAGCCAAAATTAGTACATCGTGATGTGACACGTTTCTATGAAATACCATTTGGTCCATTCAAAAAACCTGAAGATGTACTTAAATCATTTGGTTATGAATTGGATCGTGAACTTGATCGTGGTGCTTTTGGTGTTGTTTATATTGCAAAAGATGTAAGAAAAGAAAAAAAAGTTGCTTGTAAACAAATTGAAATGAATCTAGCATGTCATCGTGATGCATTTGAAGAGAATAAAAATGAATTATTAACAATTGAACGTGTTAGACATGCATATGTTATAAAAGTTTATTGTCATTTTGTTGTACAAGGTAATGGTTTTAAACGAATGTATATATTTATGGCATTAGCTGATGGTGGAAATTTATATAAATTTCTAAAAAATCGTAATCAAATAATTACTGAATATCAATGTCGACTTTATTTTGCACAAATATTATGTGGTCTAAATCATATGCATTCGGTTGGTATTGCACATCGTGATATTAAACCACAAAATGTTTTATTATGTTCGAATCCTAATTCAATATCCGGTGATTATACTCTTGTTGTTACAGATTTTGGTCTTAGTAAAGTAGTTACCAATGAAGAACAATTAGCAATGTCTATTTGTGGTACACCTGTTTTTATGGCACCAGAATTATTACAAGCACAACCATATAATCCATTTTCAGCTGATGTTTGGGCATTAGGTATTACATTATTTCAAATGTTATCATTGGAATTACCATTTAATTATCATCAACCACAAGAAATTATTATACAAGCAATGATGGAGAAAAGAATATTATTTGAATCATCATTTCGAAAAACTAAACAACCATCATCCGAATTTAAACAATTGATACTTTCAATGTTGGAACCAAATCCAAAACTACGTATTCGTATGATTCAAATAACTCGTATACAATGGATTATACGTGAATATTCTATGGCTGAATCATTTTGCCGTTCAATACGATCAAAGCATGTACAACATAATATAAATATAAATAACGTGAATAACATAAATAACATAGCGAACTAATTAACTGGCTGGCTGACTATTTCAAATTTTTTCAATGCGTATTTTGCTTGTATTTTGTGGACTTGGCTTATGTCTATAGTAATTAATAAATTTAAAAAAAATTTCTCATTTTTATTTTCTTATTTTTCAAAAATGAAAAGAGAGGATATATGAAAAAAAATTTACAAATTTTGTTTTGAATAAAAATTGAAATTGTTATAATGGGAACAAGGGAGAGTGGTGATTAGTTATTCGATTATTTTAAACTTTAAATACAATCGTTTGTTGTAGATTTGATAAACGATTAGCCCATTTTTCCAATGCCTGATAACGTGCCTGATCTTCTTGACGACAATTTTCCAATACCAATACCTGATTTACCTGATCGATACGACCTTTGATTACACTGTACAGAATTTTAATTGAAAAAAATAATTTGAGAATTTTAAGAAAAAAATAATTCAAAAAGAAAATAAACTTACTTATCCAATATACATGATACAAGTAAACTTTCAACATCGGTAACATCAATATTCAATTCTTTAGCTATAAACGGTATCTGTATTCGTGTATATGGTTTAATCAATTTGATCAATACTTGTGTACGAATATTACACATTAAATCTTCAATATGTTCTTTAATAAATGGATCATCCATTATTGTACGACGATTTTGACGAATAATTTTTTCAAATTCATGTATATCATTATTTTGATATGCATTCACTAGATTTGTCATGGCCAATATTTCTGAATCATTTTTATATGGTTTAGCTTCCTGTGAATCAAATGGATTAATATCTGATTTCATTAACATATTAGCTAAAACTAAATATTTCAAACAGGTAGTACGTCTTGGTGAACCAGATTCATCATAATTTTTAAATGCTTCAAAAAAATCTGTATGTGCTTTATCATATTCATCTTCACGTAGATGCATTTTACCACCACATTCACGTATTACACCCATTATTAATGGATGTGGTATGGCCGATTTAATGCATAATGATTTTTCATAAAGTTTCTATATAATTTGATTCGGATGAAATAGAAAAAAAAGAAAAAGAAATTATCATTAAACAATTTAATAAATTAATTGGGGTAAGGATGGATTTACCTTTAATTTTTTATTATTTTTTTGTTCAGTATACATTTGAATTTCTAATGCATAAATCTCTAATAATTGTGTACCTTTTTTTAGATCATCACTACCATCATCATTTTGACATGATTGATGTAATTGTTTAAGAATTTTTGATAATTTTTTAAAATCTTTACATTCATAATATAATTTTCCCAATTTTATATTAGTTTTAAACCAAAGACGATCATTTTTAGCATCTTTTAATGCTTCTAATGTTGTTTCATAAAAATTCTGTAACAATATCATCTGTTTCGATGTTGAAATATAATCCAATATTGAATTGATTGATTTTTCCGAATAATTACGTGTAACAGCATTTTTTATATATGTTAATAGCATTTTATATCGTCGCATCATTTCTTCATAATTACCCTTTTTTTAATTTTAATTTTATTTGGAAAAAATATTTTAAATTATTTTCATTTTCAAATCTTAATTTTAAACACTTACCAAACGAAAATTAATTTTAATCATCTGTTTTAATGCTTTAAAACCCCATTCACCTTTTTCACCATTTTCAAGATCAAGTACTTGTTGAAAACTTTCCAATGCTTTTTCCGGTATATCTTTTAATGCTTTTGAATTATAATATTGATTTTCAAGATCAACATCTGGTTCAGAATTTGAATCTTCAGAATATTCCTATTTATTATTAATATTATTATCGAGAAAATGAAATAACAACAGATAAAAAACAAACATACCAAATCATAGCTATCATCGCTATTATCACACATAAAATCATCTTGATCAGACATTTTTATTTGAAATTAATTAATTTTTTTTTTTGAAATCAAAAATGGTTGAATCCAGAATAAAATGACTAATAAAGAATATCGTGTGTTTGTGTGTGAAATATAAACATCGAACAACAACAACAAAAAAAATGAATACAATTACCCTATTTTCATTGTACAAAAAGAATTTTTTTTTTTTGATACAAAGAATAGAATGAGAGACAACTTTTATGGATGGAAACTTTATTATTGTGATGAAAATTGAAAAATCAAAGAACTAACTCATGAAAACATGGTAAAGAGAAAAAAATATATTCGTCGTTTATGAACAAATCATGAATATATGATAATAGCTCGTTTTTTTTTCTTCTTGACAATGCTTCCAAATACATCTTCTTTTCATTGAATTGAAGCCTGAACAATTCTACATTATTCTCGTTGAACACGTTTTTGTTTTACCATTATCATCGATCCTAATCAAAGTAATTTTGGAACAAAATGTCAACAACAACAACATCAACATCATCATTGTTGAATAGTGAACAAATTCTTAAATTAACATTCGGTAATGATGAACATGATCTTGTACGAAGAATAAAATCATCAAATATTTTGTTGATTGGTGCCGGTGGTATCGGTTGTGAAGTATTAAAAGGTCTTATATTAACCGGATTTCCACGTATAACTATTATTGATTTAGATACTATTGATGTTTCAAATCTAAATCGACAATTTCTTTATAATAAAACACATGTTGGTAAATCAAAAGCTGTTGTTGCAGCTGAAATTGCTATTGAAAAATTTTCACATCATAATCCATCGACGGGATCATCATTATCGAAAATAATACCGATTCATGATTCAATATTAAATCTTAAATATGACAAACAATTTTATCAACAATTTACATTTGTTATTAATGCATTGGATAATAATGCTACACGTGTGCATGTTAATCGTTTATGTTTAGCAGCAAATCGACCATTAATTGAATCCGGTTCAGCCGGTTATTTTGGTAATGTAACACTGATTAAAGGTGGTGTAACAAAATGTTTTGAATGTATACCACCGAAACGTGATGAAAATACATATGCATCATGTACAATTCGTAATACACCATCATTACCGATTCATTGTATTGTATGGGCTAAACATTTATTTGCACAATTATTTGGACAAAGTGATGAAGATATTAGTCCAGATGCAACAGTTTTAACCAACGATAATAATAATGATAATGAAAGTATTAATAGTAATAATCATAATAATCAACAATCAACATCAAATATTAATCAAACAACAAGACAATATGTTGAATCAATTGATTATAATCCAAAATATTTGTTTGATAAAATTTTTTATCATGATATTAATTATTTAAAAAAAATTAAAAATTTATGGGAAAATCGTAAAAATCGTCATGAACCACAAGTATTATCATATGATCAGATTATTAATGGTGAAATTGGTTTTAATGATGATCAACAATTGAATAAAGAAACTACTAATGGTAATGGTGGTCAAACATCATCATCGAAAATTATTGCTGACCAACGTTTATGGACAATAAATGAATGTTTAGATATATTCATTGAAAGTCTTTCGAAATTAAACGATCGACTTAAACAAGATGGTTGTCTTGAATGGGATAAAGATGATGATATTGCTGTTGATTTTGTTACGGCTGTTTCAAATTTTCGTTGTTATTGTTTTTATATAGCAAGAAAATCTAAATTTGAAGTAAAATCATTAGCCGGTAATATAATACCAGCTATATCGACAACAAATGCAATTGTTGGTGGTGGTTATGTTTTACTTGAATCAATTCGTTTATTACAATCATTATTACCGAAAAGAATTTTTCAAACCGAAGAAAATGATTGGAAACCCAGTGATTTGGAATTAGCTGAAGAATCTAATCGTATAATGGAAAATGGTTTTTCTGTATTTATTTCGAATAAAAATCAAACAAATTTAAGTAAAATTGCTATTGAAAAATTATTGCCACCAATTTCCAATTGTTTAGCATGTTCTGGACAGGTGAAAGAAATAATTGTCGAATTACCATTCAATAAAATTACATTAGCCGATTTAATTGAACAATTAGTAATGAAAAAATTTAAAACCGTTGCACCAGATATTAATTGTTATGATTTAAAAAAAATGATTTTTGCTGCCGATGATGAAGATGATTTAAAAGAACCGGATTCATTTTATCATACAAAAACATTAGAATCATTGGAATATTTTTATGATAATATTTGTTTAAATATAAAAGATTTGGAACAAGATTTTGAAGTAAATTTACGTTTAAAAAATATACAATTTACAATCGATGATGAAGAACAATTAAATGGTGATTTATTTCGAATATTAATGGATGAAAATGAATTGAATAAAATTCATTATGAACAACAACAACAACAAAATAAAAAGATTCGTTTATCAGATGAACAAAATGGTCAAAATGATGATATTGAAACAATTATCGATGATAATAATGATGAAATGAATCGAATATCAAAATTAAAACGAAAAACAATCGAATCATCATCATCATCATCATCGATAGAAGGACAACAAAAAATGGCAGCTATCGATCTAATCGATGATGATGATGATGAAATTGTATGCTTAATGGATGATAATAAACAACCAGAACTGGAAACATTATCAACAACAACAACAAAACGTTTACGAACCAAATAAATAAAATTCACTTAATTTCAATCAAACTTTTTTTAATTAATTTTTTTTTATTTTAATTTTATTTTTAGAAGGTTGTAATCATCATCATCATCAGTAATCATCATTGTAAGAATTATTATAATTTATCAATAAATAAAATGACAAAACAAAAATAAAAACAAATTTTTTTTTCTTTGTTCAGTGTGTGTGTGTATGTAGGTGTGCAATGTTTTCGACCAAATTGATTAATTGATTGATTGAATCACTTTTTTGTTTTGTTTATTTGTTTTTGGTTGTTCAAGGAAATTTTTCCGTTTCTTCAGTTACTTGTCTTGGTACTTGTAATATTGTTTCCCAATAAAAATTCGGTGGTCCAACTGTAAAACAGATTTTCTTTTTCAAATTATGATCCATACGTTCAACATAATACATAATATAAAAATTACACATTTCATCATCACCTGTCGAACCAATTTGTACTGGATGTGATTGATTATTATACATTGTACAACGTGCAACAACCATATCACCAGGTCGTATGGAAATTTTTTCATGAATTGGATAAAACATTTGTGGTAATTGTGGATTACCTTTACCAATTAATTGCCATTGATGATTATTATTTCGATCGATACGATAACCGGTTACAACTTTACCCAATTTATGTGTATGTGTTCGAAATGCAAACGGATGTATAATAATATTTTCATTCATTCGACATGCACTGTCAAAATAGTCTTGAATTGAAATTTTAAAAAAAAATAAATTTTTTTTTATTGATTAAAACAAAAAAAAACAAAAATGAGTATTTCTTGCTTACCCAATGAATGTGATTGAATCATACCACCAGTGGCCAATAATAAAACACCGGCTAATCGATCGATTCTAATTATCAAATTGATCAGTTTTTTTTGATTAATTTAATTTCAAACAAAATTACTTACTCTTGTGTATCCTGTGGTAACATTCGTAATGTTATTCCCGAATGATCGGTATCACCATCTAATTTAAAATTGATTTATTTTTCAATTGAATCAAATTCTCAAATAAAAAAAAATCAACTTACTTCGAAAACGATGAACATGTGCATAATGAACTTGTAATACTAAATAATTAATATCCGAACCATGACCAACTTTAAATCCAACACCTTTTGGTAATTTTAATGCAGGTGCATCCATAGCCCAACTATAAACAATTTGTGATTCACCTTTACATACTGGACCACGTGGAAAAAAATCCAATTCATCACTATCATAACCATCTTGATTATTATTATGATTATGATTATGATTATTAGCAAATGTCATTTCACCACAATCCCAAACAGCACGTGGTGTATCACGTTCATAATAACCAGGTATTTGACATCCATAAATTAATATATGATGTGCTGTTTGTTTTGTTGCATTCGGTAAATATTCAACAATAAATTCATGTTCATAACGTGACATTTTAAATGCTGTACAAAGATAGGTTTCTGGTTGCATTGGTCGTACATCGGGCATTAACATTGGAAAATATTTTCCATTTGATTTTTGTTCTTCATTATTTGTATTTGAATATTGTAATGATAATGATTGTTGAATCAGATTACATGATATTATCGATAACAAAACAATGTTGATAATAATACTGTTAAAATTCATTGTTGTTGATGAATTTGATATCATTTTTGTTTTTTCGGAAATTTTATATCTAAACGTAGGTGTTGAATATGGATTTAGAATAACATTTAAATTTTGATTAAATTTCAATGAAAAGAACAATAACAATTGTGAATTGTTTCTTTTCTTTTTTGTTCATAAAATAAATCCTTTTGTTCGAGGATTGTTGCTTATCAAATATTATTATATGACATTTACAAAGAAAATGAATCTAGTTGGAACTTGAGAATATTGAATGTTTGTTTGTTCGTTTTGTACTCAAAATAATAACGGAGAAGAAACAAAAAATGGACGCCGTATATAGATAGGTAGATGAAAAGATATTTTTATTCACAAAAAATTAGCCCCATTAACATGAAGAGCATGAGCATCAAGTGTTGTGTCGGGATATTCTTTTTGGATTTGGATCGGAAATTATATAGAACTGAAATTCTTTTGCCACCATATCTATCAACCAACCAACTGAACAGAGCAAACAAATTGATTTCAATTACAATTTCAATCTTTTGTTGGGGGATTTCATGACGTCAACAACAACAAATTGTTGTTGTTGTTGTTATTGTTGTTGCAACGACCACCATCGTAAAATAATTTGCTCATTCTGTTTGTTTGTTTGAAAATCTACAATATCAAAAGAGGATACACAAAAAAACGCTCGAATCAAAAAGTCTTTGGATTCACAATTTTTTATTTATTATTTTTGATGATAACAAAACAAACGACAATAATTTGATTGAATCGGTTTTGTGTATATAAAAGTTTGAGTGAGTGTATCGAGTGGTGGTGAAAAGCGGGATAAAACAAGATCAAGATTATTGTTTGTTGTTTGGTTGGTTTGTTTGAAATAAAGGCAAAACATTTTCCCATGTATATTTTTTTTTTAATTTGGTTGATTGATTTTCATTCATTGTCAAACATTTGTCGTAGAAATTTAAAACAAAAAAAAACTATAAACTATAAATTCAAATAAAATGAATAAATTTTAATGATGATAATGATGTGGATTGTTGTTGTTGTTATTGTTGTTATGGATTTATTTATTTTTTATCTTCTAGTTTTTTTCATTAATCTTGTTCGTAATTCATCTTGTGTTGTGAAAAAATCTTTTCGTTTACCAGCTGCTATACGACTATTACCTTTCATTCTAGTTCTCGATGCAGCTGATGTTAATGCCGATGATCTTGATGATGCGGCAGTCGATGATGCTGCAGTCGATGATGCAGCCGTCGATGATGCAGCAGTCGATGATGCGGCAGTCGTTGATGCAGCTGTCGAAGATGCAGCAGTCGATGATGCGGCAGATGATGATGATAAACCACTTAAACTTGAACCACGTGATCCAAATTTTGATGCACGTGAACCAAATCTTGTTGCTGATGTTGCTGATGTTGATGATGTTGATGATGAAAAACCTGATGACATTGAATATGATCCAGCACCAACAGAAATACCTTCTTGTTTTTCACGATTTCTTACAATAATTAAAACGGCAATTAATATGATTAACATTAGGATATTTTTTACCGTAAATAATGTTAATGTTAATGTACGATAAAAATTATTTTCCGGTAATTTTTCGGGTATTTCATCTGGTAGCTGATGTGGATGATGATCAATTACTGATGGTGGTGGTGTTGGAATTTTTCCACGTTCAAATGGTGATAATGTTGTGCTTTTTTTGTCTAATCCCTTAACTGGCCATGGTTCTTTTGGTATCGAACCTGATTCTTTTGTAAATGTTGCCGGTGGTGCATTACAAATAAAAAAATCTGATAATTTTTTTATCCAAAATTTCGATTCAAAATTACGTTTTTCTATTACAAATTTATCCGTATAGATAACATAATTTTCATCATATTTTGTACCAACCAAATAAAGATATTTGTCCACAATAAAACCAAATTGTATTGGTTGCAATAAAAATGTTGTTGTATTACATTGTCGTTGTGTTTCTTGTAAACGAAATGCATTACGTAGTTGAAGGGAAAAACAAAGAAATCCAGTTGCTTGTTTCATATTAATATCCCAATTTACTTGTACAAATGGATCATTATTTTTACCAGTGCTTATAATTAATGATGCAAAATTATCCGATTTACCACTACTAATAATTATAATTGAACTATAACCAGATTGATATTGTTTTTGATCCATTTTTATTGTTCCCAATGAACCACGATAAATTATATTACGAAATTGTTTACCATCTGAACTAATCATAAAATTTAATGCAAATTGTGATTGTTGATCCATAAACATTCCTAATGATATAAAACGATGAAAATAAGTGCCAGTTTCATCATCAGACATTTCTTTCCAAATAATTTTTAAACTATCATCCGATTTTTCAAAAAATGTTTGATAACTTGATTCCATCGATATCATTTGACCATTATGTAAATATAGACGATGATTTAATGAATCATAATTTGTTTTAACAGTTTTATAAATAATAATCATATTATTTTTTGTATATTGCCAAATATTATCATAAATAATACCAATTGCAATAGTTACTTTGGATAAATCGGCTTCATTATTACTACAGGATATTGATTCAGTATTTACCGGTACAATTGGTGGATGTGCTTGTGATTGAACAAAAAAATTTTTATCATTATTTTTTAAAATAATAATAATCATCATCATCAACATTATTAATCTGATGAATTTAGCCATTTGTGTGAGAAGGAAACAAAAAAAAAATTTTTGTAAACCAAAATCAAATCGAAAACATTTCAAAAAATTAATCCAAAAAAATTCCTTTTTATTCAATGAATTTACTAATTAAATTACAGAAAAAAAAGAATTTAATCAATCAATTAATTAATTGGCAGTGTTTTGATATTAAGATTTTTTAAGAAAATTAACAACTTTTTTCGAAAATGATGATGATGTTTTTTTATCTTGTTTATTTTGTTCACCTTGTTTAAGTATTCGAATTTCTTCTTCCAATTTAGCAATTTTATCGGCATCTTTTTGTTTTTCAATTTTTAATTTTGAAATTTCATCCCTTAACTGTCCATATGTTTGTCGATTTTTTCTTGATGATCTATGATCAAATTGTGAACGAATTTTTGATAATTGTTTTTCAATCAAATTAATTGTTTTGATTCGTTTTTTTGCATTATTTTCAGTCATATCAAGAATCAATTGTCCAAGTTTTCCATAACGATCATTATATTCAAATTCATTCGGAAGACAACGTGATTCTTTTAATTGTTTAACAGATCGCGATTTTTCCATTTCCGAACCAAATGGATAAACTAATTCGAATAAAATAATACCCAAACTATAGATATCAACACGATGATCATAATTTGATTGAGCTAATTGTTCAGGTGCTGCATATGGTGTTGTACCCATACCAAATGATAATGATTTTTGTTTATCATTTTTCAATGATGATGATGATGATGATGTTGACATTTGATCATCATCATCGTTGCATTGTAGAATCCAAGAACTAAGACCAAAATCACATATTTTTAAATATTTTCCATCTAATGTAAACAAAATATTTGATGGTTTTAAATCACGATGTATAAAATTATTTTTATGCATATATTGAACACCGGCAAGTATCTGTTCAAACCATTTCAATTCAATAATCAAATCTAATTTATCAATTGTCGTTTTCGAATCATTTCTTTTAACAATATAATCTTTAAGATTTTGTCCACAAAGTTCCATTTGCATAAAAAGAAATGCTGCCGGTTCTGTGACATTGATTTTTGATTCGATTTTCTTAATCGATGACGACAACGATGATGATGATGATGATGACGATGAAGATTTAAAAAATTTACTTTTGATTTTATCTGAAACATTTTTTGACCCATAAGATTCGATGACAGTAACATTTTCTTTACTATTTTCACTTATTGTCGATTCATCATCATTATGATCATCATTTGTTGATGATAAACATTTCTGTATCCAAGATGTTTTATATATAACAATATTTGGATGTGATAATTTTGCACAAATACGAGTTTCACGAGTAAATTTTGTTAATTTACCTTTTTTCAAATAAATTATCTTCACTGCATATTGTTGTTTATCGACTCGATGTTGAACTTTATTCACTTTACCATGAGCTATTTTTGATTTCAAAACAAACAAAAAAAAATCAAGAAATTTTTTTGATTGAATGAAATCCATTACTTACCACCATCGCCAATTTTTTCAATTTCTTCAAATTCTTTTGCATAACGATCTTCATCAAAAAAATTATTGGAATGAAAAGTTTGTTGTTGACTAGAAGTTATGGCAAGTGTTGTTTTCGATTGAAAATTGATAGGAAAATTGCTAATAAAAATTTTCAATAATCGTTCACTTAGCTCATTGAATAATTTTATTTGCATTTTCCATTTGAATCGTTGTCCATAAAATGTTTTCAAATCAGCCAATAATTCATCTACTAATTTTTTACGAAGTATTGGATTTGGTTCAACGCCAAAACATACTTTTTCAACCAATGTTTCGATAAATAATAGATTTTGTGCACGATTTCGATTTCGTCGTACCACTTTATTATCTACATTGTTGTTGGTGGTGATAATAGATTGATTCAAAATTTTATCATCTTTATCGAATATTTTTTCCCACTGTTTTGTAGACATTGTCATTTTATTCGTTGATTTTTCCATTGTTCCATCATCAAAATCAGTAATCGGTAATGCTTCAGGTAATTGATGAACAATTTCTTCATCAACATTAACATTATTGATTTGGCTTTGATTATGGTGTTGATGATGATAATTATTATTATTTGGATCCATTTGAAATCTTAGCTGTAATGGTAGACTAGAATCATAAATTGGAAATAAAAAACAAGTTTCAATATTTTCATTATTAAAACGTATTTGACAATTCATGTTTTTTCTGGAAACTTTTGTAACCAAAGTGATTATCATAAAAGATAAATTATAAATGTATCATAACATTGATGATTCTTTTACATAAATAAAAACAAAAACAAAAGATTATTATTTAAAAAATTAACTTGAAAATTTATCATATCTTAGCTATTTCGACTGTAAATGTTTTATCAACAAGAAAGTATTAAAATAGCATTTGTTTGCATTGTCTGCATTTTTTTTTATTATATTGAGAGAAGTGAGAGTTGATGATTGTTCTTATCACCATCGATTGATTGATTGATCATTTTATCCATAGTAAATTTCAAAGGTAAATGACGTGTTCTATACTTTATTTTTTTTCCAAAATAAAAAATTAACCGTTTGTAATTGTTGTTGTTGTAGAAAACATTCCTTCTTGAAGAATCTTAACATTCGAAATTTTAATGATAATGATGAAAGGAAATATTATTAAATTATTTTTAGTAATCATTTCATTTACATTTACATATGAATGTATGGCAAGTGATTCTTCCGAAAAACCAAAAGGACCGAAAGCAACCGATATTGTTACATTTGATATAACAATCGATGGTGAATCGGCCGGTAAAATACGTATCGGTGTTTTCGGTAAAACTGTACCAAAAACTGCCGAAAATTTTAAACAACTTTGTATCAAACATCAGACTGAGGTTGGTTATAATTTGATTTTCTTTTTCATATAAATTTTCTAATCTTATTATTTTTGAAATAGAAAGCCGAAGATGGCAAACTTGTCGGCTATAAAGGTAGCATATTCCATCGTGTCATTTCGGATTTTATGATACAAGGTGGTGATTTTACACGTGGTGATGGTACCGGTGGCCGTAGTATTTATGGTGAAAAATTCCCTGATGAAAATTTTAAACTAAAACATTATGGTGCTGGTTGGTTATCGATGGCAAATGCCGGTAAAGATACAAATGGTTCACAATTTTTTATAACATGTAAAAAAACACCATGGTTAGATGGACGTCATGTTGTATTTGGTAAAGTATTGGAAGGAATGTCTGTGTTGAGAAAAATTGAAAAATTAGAAACCAATCCACAAGATCGTCCAAAAAAAGAAGTTAAAATTGCCGATTGTAGTGTTGAAACATTAGCCGAACCTATTTCAGTTGCACGTGAAGATGCAACCGAATAAAAAATGGCAAAATAAAATGAAAGGATTAATAATGGTGTGCCATTAACGATGAATTTTGAGAAAACAAAATAAATCTTTTAAATAGAATTTTCATTTTCACTAACAAAAATTGAAAAATAAATTTTAATTTCTTTTTCTATAAAACAAACAAATTAATAATGTTTTTTCATCATTTATCTATTCCATTGTTGTCGTGGTCGTGGTTGTTGTTGTTCGGTATCAACATCACCACCATCCGCATCATTGGTTGATTGTTGATTCGGAAATTTTCTTTGCCGTTGAAAATTTATGGTCGACATTAGTGCATCATCCAATGCACGTTTCATTTCGATCATATTCGATTCTTCTAATTGTTTTATTAATCCATTAATTTTTTCAATCAATTCTGGTTTACCGCTTTTTTCGATTACCGTACGAATTTCAATCATAACATCATTGAATATAATTTGATTTTTTTTCGGTTTATCTTTATTCAATTGAAATTGAATAATATCAGCTACATCATTCAAACGATTAATACGTGATAATGCTAATAAACGTAAACTTTGTATAATAATATTCATTGATTTCATTGATTTTGAATTTAAATTCTGTATAATTTCTAATGCAATATTTGGATGATTTTGTTTTATGGCTAATGCAATGAAACAATAAAGACCACGTAATTTTATTTGATGATCATTTGACATTTGTATTGAACGTAATACACGAAAAGCCGATTCAAATGATTCGACTGTATTCTGTTACCATGAAGAAGAATATTCTATTAAACCGAAGAAAAATTTTATTTAAGAAGAAAAACAAAAACATACCAATTTATAGCAGGCAGCAAAATATAAAACAACAAAATCGATTGGATATTTAACATCAAAATCAAATTTTGTTGTTGCATAATCAAATAATTTTATTACATCTTGATAATGGCCATTTTCCAAAAGAATATCCATAGCTATTGTAACCGAACTGATTTGTGTGAAAAAATTTTTATATTTCTAAAAAAAAATAAAAATTTGTTAAAATTTTATTAAAATGATCGAATGTGAAAACAGAAACAAACCGGATTAAAAATCCACATTGCCATATCGACATTGTTCAGATGTCTAGCTAAACGCATTACAATCGGACCGAATTGAAATAAACCAAAACGTAATGATTCATTTTGTTTTTCAAATTTATCGATTGTACGCCGTAATAGATCGATATGATTATCCGAATTTTCACAAAGAAAAAGAAGATTTTTTAGGTCTTCCGATAGAATTGCATTCTTTTCATCGGCAATATGTTCGGTAAGACGATCAAAAAATATCTGCTTTTGTTGACCAAAACGTTGACTAATTTGTTGTCGTAATTGTACAAAACGATCAACACCAAGTACTTCATCGGAAAACAAATTACGTTTAGATTGTAAATGAATTATTGTTGTTGTCGGCGTGAATCGTTTTAAACATTGTGATTCAGTATTTTTACTGAATGAAAAGAATTGTCGATTTATTAATCGGCTAAATTGTCGAAAATTATTATAGCAAAAAACCAAATTAGCCATGATAAACTTCGAATTATGTTAAAAAAAAATTATTTAATGGCAGCATTGAATTTATAAAAAACATGTGTAAATATCATGCCAAAGTGGTGCCATCTTTTTGTGAATCCTTTTATGATGGTGTGTTTCGGGTTTGTTTGTTTGTTTTTTGATACCAAAAAGAAAAATTGACCGGCTTAATTTAAAAAAACAAAAACTGATTGACAATCCATAAAAAAATAAACCAATCGATAATCATGTCATATTCGACAAGATCAAAACGTAAAATAACAACGACTACGACAAAAACCACGCCGAAAATTGAAGACGTTGATGAAAAATTGTTAATCGAAAAAAATGAACAAAAATCTGTTGATCATCATTCTAATCGAATGATGACAATCGAAAATGACAGTGATAATAGTGATGATGAACAAGATCAAGATGATGATGATGATGATGATGAAAATATTGCCGAAGAAATTGAAATGAATGCTGAAGAAATATTATTCGGTGATGATGATGATAATGATGTTGATATGAATGCTTTAAACGGTATAAGTGATCATTATTTTCTTGGAAAATCAACTAAAGCATATCGTCGTCGTCGTCGTGAATCGAAAAAACCAACAAATGATGGTGATATCGAACAACAACAACAAGATAAATTTTTTGAACAATTTGAAAAATCAATTGAAACAATGAATGAATTGAAATTTACACAATCAATCGATTTGGAATTCGAACAAATACGTTGTGCATTACGTATCGATGATCATCAAACAAACATGTCTTATTATTGGCAACTTTTAATGGAACGATTTAATTTGATTTTATATGGTTTTGGTTCGAAAATTAAAATTCTACAATATTTTATTGATAATTTTATTAAAGATTATTATCATTATATTATAATACGTGGTTATGATCCTGAATTAACAATGAAAAATTTATTATTCATATTGAATCAATCAATTGGAAATAATACGCTTGATTCATTGATTACAAATCATAATGAATTATTGGATAAATTGAATGAAAAATTTGGTAATGATAATGATAATGATGATGATGATGATGAACATTTATTCATTATAATTCATTCGATTGATCGTTTAATACAATTTGATCGTAAAAATTTAATGAAAAATTTCCTGGTAAAACTTTTAACCAATGTTCATAATATTCATTTAATATCATCAGCCGATATGGTAAATGGTGAATTTTTATGGACACAACAAGAATTAGATCAAATACGTTTGCATATGATTCCGATCAATACATATCAACCATATATTTTCGAAAGACGTACAATTAATGGTGGTCATTCATCTTGGCTACCAACAACACTTCGTTCAATTCGTTCGATGGCAACTACTAATCTTTCATCGGTCACATATGTTTATGAATCATTAAATGATAATGCTAAAAAAATTTTTCAAATTTTATTGAAAAATTTTTTAGAATTGAAAAAATCATCAACAACAACAATAAAATTAGATGATCTTTATCAAATTTGTCGTGAAGAATTTCTAACTAGTTCATTATCAACAATAAGACAACAATTAACTGAATTTAAAGATCATAAATTAATAAAATTTCGTACCGATCAAGATGGTAGTGAATGTATTGCATTATCATTTGATTTAGATGTTGTAAGAAAATTTTTAAATTCAATCGAATAATGATAATTAATTAATCTCATGATAATTAATAACTTTTTTCATTTAATTAATTAAAAACAAAGCAAAATAAACATTTTTTCATTCATTAAATCTTGTCGAGATCAAAGATTATCAATGTTTTTGTTGTTCGGATTAATAACATTGATTCTTGATACATTTTCATTTTGAAAAGAATTTGGGTAGGCGTTCGATAAAATGATGAAACTATATCAATGACAGACGCATATATACAAAAAACACGCAAACTCATATCGAATACATTCGCGAATAATGTTAAAATAGAAAAAAGAATATTCTTGCCTATTTTGATATTCGAAATATACCGCCTTGATTTTCAATTTGAACCAATCCGATTTCAAACAAATGGCGTCAAATTTATTATTATTTTCTTTGGTGTTTCATTTGGAACAACATCTTTTTTGTTTTTTTGTTGGTGTTATGATCGATAAAAGAAAAACAACGGTTACACACATCTGGTGCGTATGTGTGTGTGTATAATATTCTGGGTAACATTCGGGCACGATTCAAGTAACATCTGGTTCATGAAGAAATTAAAGAATTGTGAACCGGGCAATATAGCAATAATTTTTGAATGATAAAAAAAGTTTCGTTTTTATTCTGGAGAAATCTTTTCAGTTCAGAACAATTCTTGACAAACAACCAAAATCATATGCAAGAATTCATTTGGATTTTGTGCACACAAACAAACATCATCAACAAATTTATCTTTTTCCTGTGTGTGTTTGTTTCTTTCACTGACTGATTAAATCAATGATTCATCCATCAACGATTTGATCACATCATCTTCGAATGAATAACCTTAATTTTTTTTTTGCCAAATTCAGGTAAAAATTCTGTTTTCTGAGAGCGAGCGAGCGAGCCAGATCAATAAATAAAAACCCAAAAACAAAACTAAAAAACAAAAATGCTCAATATTCAGTGACCGATTCATTCATTCGTGTAACATACGGTGTTTGGATAATGAATTTTTTTTTCTCCCTGAAATTTAAAGAAATCTGTGTCGATGACTTTGTGAAAAAAGTTTGATGACCTTTTTTCTTTAGTTTGATTGGTCTGATTTGACAAATTATTTTAGATTTTCTTCTTGAATCAAAAGCCCAATCAAACAAAACAACAAAAAAAATGATGAAACAACAATCATCATCAACATCAACATCAAAAAGATTATCATCAAGATCATCATCAAAATTATTGAATGATAAATGTTTAGATATATCATCATCATCATCATCATATATTCATCATAATAAAAAAAGTAAAGAATATCGTGCTTATTATGAAGCAGCAGCTATTGCAGCAGCAGCAGCTGCATCTGAATTTTTTAAACAACCAACATTGGATTCTTCAGGATCTTATGGATCATCATCACAGGATCATTCAACAACATCATCAGGTTATCAAATGATTTCAAATCCATTTCATGATCATTTAGCATCAACATTTGGTTTAAATTTTCGATCAAATAATGGTAATACCATTACTAATAATAATAATCATCATCAAAATGATAATTATGGACCACCATCAAACACAACAGCAAATTATTTATCATCTTCAACACAAAGATTTAATAATTTATCTCAATCATCATCATCATCATCAACATCATCATTGATTTTTCCATATACACAATCAACATCCGGTTATTATTCGAATGGTTCGATGATTGATCATCATCAACAACAGCAACAACAACAATTATCTAATTGTAATAGTATTTGGAACCGCAATACAACTCCAATATCAACATCATCATCAACAGCAACTACTGGGACCGCATCATCATCATCATCATTGAATCAAGGGTCTAATGTTTCAGGAACAACAGCTACTGTTCCAAATAAAGTTAAAGCTACTGCTGCTGTTGTTGATGAAACTGCTGCTACTTCTGCTGCTGTCAAACAAAGTCACAAGTCACATAATATGGTTCCACCCATCACCTCGGGTAATGGTAATGATGATGATGACGATGATGAATGTATCTATCGCGGTGATGATGATGATGATGATGGTAGTCGTCGTCGTCGTTGTCGTCGCCGTCCAACAGTTGATCATTCGGCTTCATTGTTCACGGATCAACTTTTACTTAATCAACAACCGAATAATCGATCATTACAATTTCGAACACCAACATCTAAAACATCAAAATCATTAACAACAACAACAACAAAAACAACAACCAAAACAACAAAAATGACAGTCGTTCATCATATTTTATCACCATCGATTATATCAAACGAATCACATCCACATCATCATCATGGACACCTTCATCATGGACATGATTTCATACATTCAGATGTTGATAATTCAATTAGTCCAAATTCGACAACAATTTCATCATCATCATCATATTTATCATCTAGTCAATCATCAATTAATGATTGTTCATCACCATTGATACTTTCGAATGATGATAATCATTCATCACCACCAACATCATCCACATATAATGGATATATTGGTTATCATCATCCTTCAACATTAACAAAAACATCATCACAACCATCAAACAATTCAACAAAATCTGGTCATCCAACAAAATCAAAATCTAAACCACGTAGACGTGTTGCAACAGTTGCACAACGTCGTGCAGCAAATATTCGTGAACGACGACGAATGTTTAATCTAAATTCTGCATTCGATAAATTAAGGAAAAAAGTACCAACATTTGCATATGAAAAACGTCTTTCAAGAATTGAAACATTACGTTTAGCTATAATGTATATAAGTTTTATGTCAGATTTATTGGATACAACAAGCATAGCAAGTGATATGACAATCGAAAATCAACAACAACAACAACAACAACAAACATCACCATCAATGATGACAAAAACATTGAAAACAAAATTGGAAAAAAATTTAAAATTATCGATCGATGATAATGATAATGATGATCAAGATGATAATAATAATAATAATAATAATGAACAGCAGCAGCAACAACAACAACAACAACAGCAATCAAACGAAACCGAAATCGATCTGATCAAATCGAAACAATTTTCATTGACAAATGAAAATCAAATACCATCAATTTCGATTGTGGCTAATAATTCATCGATTGAAAGATTTAATCATCATAATCAACATCAATTACAACGATCATCAACACCAACATCTTCGTATATGATAAATGAAAATATTTATTATCCTGGTCATCATCATCATCATCCTCATCCGCATCAATTTCTAGCTGAACGTTATCCATCATCTACACCATCATCATCATCAATATGGACAGCCCAAAACAATGATCATAATCATCATCATTATGGTCATCATCATCATTTTGGATCAAATAATACAGGTATTGATTTAGCATCAACTACATCATCATTTGGTCATCATAATTATCATCATCATCATCATCATCATACATCAACAGCACGATATTGAAATAATCTTCTTCTTTTTTTTTGAAAAAAAACAAACATTTAATTCAAAACAAACAACAAAAAACACTAGTCTTCCTTCCTTTCTTTTTTAAAATTTTTTCTTTTGTGTGATATATGGGATTTACTCTTAATTCTGTGTGTGCGTGTGTGTGTGTATGCTTTGTATGCTTTCTTAACACAAACATTTGTCTCCAAATTTTCTCAACAAATTTTTTTTTTATTATTTAAATTAAATTAAATTTTTAAACAAATAAATTATCTGAGAAGGATGTTATGTTATTTGATCAGCAGTCGCAATAGCAATGGTAACAATAACTGCCAATGAAGATTATAGGTTCATACAATTCATTTTGAAGCGCCTCCTTCCACACTATTTTTAGTATTGTTTTGATTGGTTGTTTTAGACAGGAAAAAAAAAAAGTAGAGTGGGTTTGAAAATGACAATGACGATTAGATTTATGATTATTTGTTCGGTTTTTACGAACGGTTACACCATTGCGGTTTTCCTGTTTACTTATTAAATCAATATAAAAACGGTAATTATCATTATTATCATTTTTTTTTTGGGATGCGGTAAACGATCAAGGATGTTTTCTTTTTGTTGCTTTCATTCATTCATTCATTCATTCATTCACTTGGTTCGGTCGGTGTATTTTTGGAAAGCAATTAAAATTTATGGATGTTTATCTTTGGATTTTTTTTTCTATTGACTTGGATTTTTTGCTTCGTGAAAAATTTCCTAAAATCAGCAGATGCTGTGTGGATTAACAAAAAAAAAAATGAATTTTTTAAAAAATTTTATAAATTTTTCTGTTTCTCTACGTTTATATGTTTATAATCGATATTTGATTGATTGATTGATTGATTGATTTGATTTGATTATTTTATAATTCGAAAACAAAATATCATGTTATTTTTTGACCATTTTCCGAAAACATTGTATATTTTGAAACTTATCTTTAATGTAAATATCCAAAAGAAAAAAAAACGAAACATCGAGCACGTGGCACACGAGAAATGAGAAGTAGAAAAAAATTGTTTGTTTGTTTTTCTCTAATCTTAAACCTGGTAAAACATTTCAATTTTTTTCGGGATTTAGTTTTGTTTTGTTGGTTGGTTAGTTAGTTTAGTATAATCATACAAATCATACAAAAGATAAACATGAAAAAATTTGTCAAAGAAAAGAAAAAAAAATTATTAATTATAATTGAATCGGATAATTGATTGTTCGAGAAACATCAGCAAAGCAAACATTGATGAAAAAAAATTAGTATCAAAAAGACATATGTATTTAGACATCCATAACAAATCGATATTGATATTTCCGATTTTTTCATTTTTTTTCATTGGATAAATCAACAAACGAATGGATCTCGCGATTCTTGACTAATTATAATCGGTTCAGTAGTAATATTTTTCCATTATTATTTTTTGATTTTTCAATCTTTTTTTTACAAGTTTTTTTTTTGAAAAAAGTCGGGATGAAACATGACTTGTGTGTGTGTGTGTGCAAATAGCCGTTGATGTGTGCTTGGTTGGAACTAAAGCAAACATCCATTGATTGACTTGACTTTTTTTTTTAAATGTGAAACGAATTGATTTTTTTTCAGAAAAAAAACGAATAAATTTTCACCGTTTTTTTGAAAATGGTGGTAATAACGATGATGTTTCTCTGAAAAAAAAGAAAGAATAACTCGAAAATAAGAAATAATCATTTTTCGAGAAAATTTCTTTTTGCAATTTAAACTTTTCTTTTTTTTTTGATTTTCAAACGAGATGTAACAGCTTGAAATTCTATATTAAATGGTTGTTGTTGTTGTTATTCGGAAGACAATCTGGTGATGGTTGGATGTTCGCTTCGGTGTGGGTGTGTTTGGGCAGACCCGAAATCATCATCCAAAAAATATTGGTCAATAATTTTTTTCGTTTTATCAAGGAAAATCGGATTTTGAAAATTGATTTTTCCTTTTCTTTTCATTATCATCATCTTATTTACGACGATTCATAAATGATGGTTGAAAATTGGGTTTACCATATTAACAAAAAAAAAATGTGTGAAAACACAATGAAACGATGATGATGATTTGAAAAAGCAGATTCGAGATTTTATGGTGTTTCAAAAAGGGGGGTTTAAGGTTAGAGAGAGAGAGAGGTTTTAGGTAGTTGTTACGCCTTTCAATCATACATATCATTTCGGTTGGTTGACTTTCATCAAATGATGATGATGGTGATGGCTTAGATTTTTTTTTGTTCTTTTTTTTACTGATCCGATTTGCGTTACGCTCGGTGATGATGAAAAGCCGATTTTTATGATCATCAGACAGGATTGTTCGTTCTCATTTTTTTCATCAATTTTCGTAGCCAAAAAGAAAAACGATTTTGTGACAGCTTAATCTAGCGAACGAATGAATAATAGAAAACAGAAAATGTTTCACTTTTTTCATGGATGGATTCGGGGGCGTTTTTTTTGTTGTTGTTTTCTCGTTAACCAATAATGACAATTGACAATTCAATTCGATAACAAAAAGGAGAAAAAAAAGTCAATTTTTATCAAAAAAAAAATAAGTATGTGCCAACAACAAAATGAACAATGAAAAAATGAATAAGATTTTGATCCGGATTAAGATCCCAAAAAAACGAAAAGAAAAGAAATTATTATAATCCGAAATTAGATGATCATTTCACTCGCACATCACAAAATCGAATATAAATGTTGTGTTCGAACATTCGAATATTCGAACGATAGTCGAAATAGTCGAAACGCCTATGTTGACAGCAGGTGTAAAAAGGCAATTTTATCAACGAAAAAAAAACTGTAAAAATTTCTAAATTTCATTGGTGAATTATTACCACATAATATTGGATTATTATAATAATAAAATTACTGATAATAATAATTACCTTATTAGCCGGCTAAATTTTTTACAATCGTTTTTTGTTCTGTTGTTATAAAAAAAAATCAACTTTTTGACGATAATTTCCGACCATTTCGACATTGACAGGCCCGAAAAAAAAGCTTTTGTTGTTGTTGTTCAATTGATCCAAGTTGAAAATAAAAATTTCAAAATGAAAAAGGTTTGAGCAGCCTGAATTGTGACATAATTCATTGATTTGATATTTCAATTTGACGATTGTCTTTTGTTGTTGTTGTTGTTGTTTATGGGTGACAGATTGAATGAAACAAAAAAAAACTGTCAAAATTAAAAAGATTTTTTTTGGTGACATTTGTGTGTGTGTGATGACATGTTTATTGAGGTGTAAAATTGATGAAAAAAATGGAAAAAAGATTGTTTTCACCGAACATCTCTTCGACGATGATAATGCTCAAAAAAAAAAAATCTTAATCTCGAGTTTGCTTTGCTGTAATTATTATTTAATATTTTGCACGTGACAAATTGTGTGGTTTTTGAACAACAACAACAAACTGCACGTGTCAAAAGATGTGTAAACAAACCTTTGGACACGTGCACGAATATATTGATAATCCAGTTCTGTGAAACAAGTGCAACAATGATTCCTATGTGAAAATATTTTTTATTTTGAATTTCAAAAAAAAAATTCCATGAGAAAAATGAAATTTTGAATTTCAAAAAAATTCTGCACACAAACAATCTTCCAATCTAAATCTAATCCAATCATCATTCACATCGAACCAAAAAAAAACCATTTGAAACACGTGTTTCAAATACGAACAACAACAGCCAAATTATATTCCCGGTCAAATGTTTTTTTTACGGTTGTGAATTTTGTTTTGTTTTTTTACACGCTGACCACCCAAATTATATGAATTTAGTTTTTTTATTATTAATTGACTTTTGTGTTTATGACAAATTGTGTTTTTCCCGAATATCCCCACTCAAACACCCACGCATTTATATTCAAGATGAATGTGGCAAAGGAAAAAAACAAAACAAAAACGTTTTTTCCATTCATTCATTGAAAATGTTTTCAACACTGAGACCCAGAGAGTAGCCAGTAGAAAAAAACTGTGAAAACCTTTTTTTTTTGAATGTCCAATGTCCTTGTGTTTGAGTTGAATATATGACAGGGGACAATATTGACGACGACGACGACAATCATCATCATGATGATCAACCGATGTGCGATATTTGTTTTCAACAAAAAAAAAAAAAAAAAAAAAATTCAATTCAATTCATAATGGGCTATTGGATATTATGATTGAAGACCTACTTAGATGGTGACATAAAATAGTGTGTGGTATGATGGTATAGAAGAAACAATCAAAAAATATGAAAAAAAAAGTCCGACAGGCCAAACTTATCAATTATAGATATTGATATATCCAGTATATAACGGTAAGTAAACGGTTCTCAAAATACTGAATTTTATTGTCTTTTCTTCTAGTTATTCGGACAATAATATTTTCAACTGTAAACAACGTAATATTGAACAACAACAACAACAACAAAAAGAAACGAGAATATATAATGAATTCAAACTTTGAAACAAAACAACAACAAAAAAAAAACAGTAAAAATACATATTTACTCGATATTCGATCGAATGGATGAGTGTTGTAGGTGATCAGTCATTATTACACAATAACGACAAAAACAATCATAACTGTCCATCGATACAATCGATCTTTTTTTTGTTTGTTTGGTTTTCGATTTCGAATGGTCAAAAAAAAAAACTATATTAGCCATTCATATGTCAGGTCTGTTTTTTTTTGATCGATTGATTGACAAATATTGAGTAAATTTATTTATTTATTTAATCTGTTTTAGATAATTTTTTATTATCATCATCATTAGCAAATAGAATTCATCATTGTCAAGGTTATTGCATTTTTATTTTTTGAAAATGAGAATTTGAAACGGTTTTTGTTTTTGGAAATATCAATTGAGAGAAACGACTTCCATCTGGTGTTTGAAAATTATAATAAGTTTTGATTGATTTTTTTTTTTGATTAACGTTTTGAATGATAATTGTTGTTTATCATTCATTGTTTATCGGGTTGATTTGATGGATGAGCTTTTTGAATCGAATCAATAGTCAATAGAAATTCATTTAAACGTTTTAATAATGGAAATTCATTCATATCGATCTGAAATTTAATAGCATTTGCTATCTGTGGTACAAGACAAATATCGGCCAATGTTAATTGATTACCAAATGTATATTGTCCACTCATTGATTTTAACATTGTTTCAAGTAATTGAAATTTCTTACGAATCCATTCACGGCTCCATTCAACAGATTTATCTTTTGATCCGGTCAATTCTTCAATTTTTCGCATAACACCAAGATTCTGTATTGGTTGTATACCGCTTACAATTGTTTCAGAAATTGCAATCACTTTGGCACGTTCAATCGGATCTTTTGGATAGATTGATGGTGTTGGAAATGTTTGTTCCAAATAATCAATAATAGCCATTGATTCATTAAGAATTTCATTACGTCCATCTGATGTTTGAAATTGTAAAGTTGGTACCTGACTTAATGGATTTATATGACGAAATTCTTCACCATATTGTTCACCTTTAATCAAATTAATGGCACGATATTCGTATGGAATTTTTTTCAATTCCAAAACAGAACGTACACGCCATGAACATGAACTTCGCCAATAACTGTAAAGAACAAATTTACTTGGAACAGCCATCATTACAATCAAATGACTATGTTAAATGATGAAATTGAATGGAAAAAATAAAAATAAAAAATCTGAGCTAATGAATTTATTTATTGGATGATGATCATTTGTTTCAAGGACATTTTTAAAATGATTAGCATTTTGATGTGATAATGATAATCAAAAAAAAAATGCAATGGAATTTCGAATTAATTATTTTTTGGTTAAACATAAATTCAAATCACGTGATCAACAAATATAAAGATTTATGTTGAAAATAAACTCCGCCTATTAGTTAAAGTTGATTTTCTCTGTCAAGTATCGATTGTATCGATTTGATAGGCTAGCATTGGCGCTGTTGACACGTTCATGCTTGTGTTTTGTGTTGCCAGTGAAATAGCAAGAGTTTCCTTTTTCCTACACGTTGTTGAGTTTGTGTGTGTGTGTTTGTTTCGGTTTGGTTCAATTTGAAGATTTTTTTTACTTTTTTTTCGGTAATTTCCATTCAATTTTTAACTAAATCTTGATTTAAATATTTGATTTTTTATTTGTTATAGATTAAAAATGGCTCCACCACGTTATGAAACGGTTATCGGTCTACATAAAGGCCATAAAGTAACAAAAAATAATTATCAAAATCGTCCATCATCGAAAAAGGGTGTAAGTTTTTTTTCATCATCATTTTTCGACGTTAATGTAAAAAAATGTTAATAAATTTCCTTTTTTCAAAATAGAAATTAACAAAACACAATAAATTTATTCGTAGTGTTGTACGAGAAATTGTTGGCTTTGCACCATATGAACGTCGTGCTATGGAATTGTTACGTATTTCGAAAGATAAACGTGCATTAAAATTTCTTAAAAAACGTTTAGGAACACATTTACGTGGTAAAAGGAAGCGTGATGAATTATCACAGGTTATTGTACAACAACGTAAAGCACAAACTGCAACGGCTAAATAACCTCGATCACCCCCAAAAAAAATGATTTAAAACATCAAACATTTTTTTTCTGAATTTCATCATTTAATAATTTTTAATTTTAAAAAATAATTAAAATGTCTTTTCAAAAACATAAAATCATCCGTGTTTAATTTTGTTTTTCCATTGGCTTTTTGGAATTTAAAAATAATACGTTTCGAATGATATCGATCATTGACACCGATACTTCGGGTACAGAATTAGCAATGACATTTTCCAATATTTTTGTTTTCAATTGCCAACCAATTAACCATTCGAGTGATAGAAAAATTGTCGATCCAAACCAATGTGCAAAATAACCATAACTTTCAGGTGTTGTCCAATTGATTGTAGCCAATGCACTTTGGACATAATTTCGGGCACTTGGTGCCAACAAACTTGGTGTTGTTTGTCGAAATAAATTCGTACAAACAGATGCCGGTGTTAATGTATAAACAAGAACATTGTATCGTTCACATTCGGCCCATAAAATACGAGAATAATGAAGAATGTATGATTTAGTTGCACTATAAACAGCAAGAAATGGTGTAGCATGAATGGCTGCAAATGATGATATGTTGATGATAAGACCATTACGTTTGGACACCATTGATGGCAATATCAAATCGGTCAATTGTGTTGTAGAAACAATATTTACATTAATCATATCCATATGCGATTGTACGGATTCTTGATGAACAAATTTAACTTCAGCTGGTAATGGTCCCACACCAACATTATTAATCAATATAGCTATATCGTTATGATCCAGATCGAGAAATTTTCGAATCTTATCATAATAATCTGTTTGTTTAAAATCAATAGCCAATGTTCGTATCTGAATCGATTTTGATGATGATGATGAACATTCATTCAATATTAATTGTCGTTTAGCAGCCAATTTTTCTTCATTACGACTAATCATCATAATGTTATAACCTTTTAAGGCTAATTGTCGGGCAAATTCAAAACCAATACCATCGGTTGCACCGGTAACAACGGCCCATGATTTACCATTATTTGTATTCCAATCAAATTGTCGACGATTTAGATAATTCCAACAAAGAAAAAATATTCGAATCACAAAAAACATAATCAATAAAATGATGAATAATGATATCATATTCATCATGAGAAAATTTTTGTTTTTGTTTTGGGAGTTTTAATTAATTAAATCTTGACTCAACAATATCGAAAAATAGATTAGAAATTAAATCATTTTGCGAAACAAAAAAACAAAAACAATCAATTCCATTGGATTTTATGCACGAGGTAGTGGTAATTTATTTATTAATTTTTTTAATTTCTTTAATAATTACATACTTCTACTACAATGATTGTTATTATCATTTTTATTTTTAGTTTTTTTAAGAATGTTTCTTTGAATCAATCAATTTATTTTGAATCAAATGATTATCATCGATACTATCGTTATGTTGATAATCTTGATTATTATCAAATAAAAAATTATTGATTACAATTTTAATTATTTTGATAATATTTCGAAACGTTAACGATACTTCAAGTTGATTATTATTAATTTTATCAAATAATATTACAGCTATATCATCTGTATTTGATTTGCCAAATAAAAATTGTAAAAATTCCTTAAATATTAGTAACATTAAATGTGGTAAATAACCATAACTTTCTGTTGTTGTCCAATTAATTGAACGTAATGTTGATTTAATATATTTTTCTGTTTTAGGTATAATAAAATTCGATTCAAATGGTAATATTGATGATTTTACTGCACCCGGTAATAATGTAAATATAAGAACATTTTTTGATCGACATTCTTTCGATAATGTACGGGATAATGATGCTTGAAATGACTGTTGGAAAACAAAACGAAGAAATAAAATTAGAATTTTCTTCAACGAAAATGTTTTAATTTACCTTTGTTGCTGCATACATTGAATGTTGATAACCTGGAAAATGACTCATGATTGATGAAACATTTATGATTAAACCACGTCGTTTTTCAATCATTTTCGGTAAAATTAATTCAGTCATACGTATTGTACTAATTACATTAACATTCATCATACGTTGATGAAATTCGTTTGATTCTTGATAGAAAAAATGGCCAGGTATTTCAAAAAAACCAACATTATTAATCAATATGAATATATTATCAAGATATTTTTGTAAAAATTTTTCAATTTTATCATAAACATCTAAATATTGAAAATCAATAGCCAATATTTCAATTTGAATTGATGGAAATTGTTTTAAAATTAATTCTTTTTTCATTAACAATTTTTCTTCATTACGACTAATCATTATAAGATTATAACCTTTTTGTGCTAATTGTCTAGCAAATTCAAAACCAAGACCATCAGTTGAACCGGTAACGACTGCCCAATATTGACCATTATTTGTTGTCCAAACAAATTTACGACGTTTTAAATGTTTAAATAATGGTAACAAAATTTTATTCATAATCATTATTATTGTTATGATCATTGAAATGATGGTAAACATTGTTAACAACATTTTTTTTTCTTTCAAAAAAAAAATTAAATTAAATTTGATTATCTCTTGACTGATGTTTGAAACAAAATAAAATCAAATTCATACAAACTAATCAGTTTTTATGTTTTTATTATTTTTTTCGCAAATAAAAAATCCGGAACGAGGAAACAAACAAACAAAAAATTATGACGAAAATCAATTAATCAATTGATTTCATTCATTTTTTTTTGTCTTTGTTTTTTGTTTTTTTGTTAAACTTGATTTTTCACATCATGTCAGAAATGTTTATGAGTAAATTATTGATAATTTTTTGTTTTTTTGTTTTTGTTCACAATAAATTTTGTTGTTTTGATGACGATAATCGAATGATCGGATGAAAAAGATGAGAGTAGATTTTATTTTGTTGGCATCTCTCTTTTTTTCAAATGAAAAAAAATCAAATTTACCTTCGGGTACGTTTGTCTCTTTTTGTAGTTTTTGTATTTTCACATGGATTTTTCTGTTCTGTTCTGATTATCAAGATTTTCTCAATATTAATCGTTGAAATTTTTGTTTCCATTCGGATAATTTTTCAATCGAAAACAATATAATTGATGTTAAAAAACTAGGTAAATAGGAATGATTTTCCATTGTTACATTCCAATTGATTTGATTCAATACACCTTGTACATAACGTCTTGATGATGGTAACATTAACATTGATTTCATTGGTTCATATAAATTTGTTGATATTGAACCAGGTGTTAATGTATAAACAAGAATATTATTAGCCAAACATTCTTGATATAAACCACGTGAATAATATGCAATTAATGATTGATAATATTTAAATTTTTCAAACTATTTAAAGAAGAAATCGAAAGGGGAAAAATAATAATATGAAATTTTTTTTTGGGAAAAATTGAATTGAAATTTCCTTACCTTTGATGAACTATATGAAATTGTTGGACCATTTTGTAATGATATAATCGATGTAATATTGATTATTAAACCATTATGATTCGATATCATTGATGGTAATATTAATTCAGTCATACGCATTGTACTCATTAGATTTGCATTATGTAAATCACGATAATTGGTGGTTGTTGTTGACGATGTTTCACCATCATCAGAATCATTATCATTATTATTATTTTGTGGATAATAATTAACATTATTGATCAAAATGTAAACATTATTTGTTTCTAATTGAATAAATTTTCTTATATTTGTCCATAATTTTTGATTTGAACAACGACGAAAATTTACAAACATTATACGTATCTGTACGAATGGACATTCACGTTGAATTAATTGTTTTTTTTCTTGTAATAAATTCGGTGGATCATCATTCAATATCATTAGATTATAACCTTTTAAGGCTAATTGTCTAGCAAATTCATAACCAACACCACCATCAATTAATTGACCAGTTATTATTGCCCAATTACGACCATTATCAGTTTCCCATTTGAATTGTTTACGATTCCAATAATTCCATATAAACATTATTGAACGTAATATGATGATACCGATTGTTGTTCCAATTGTTATGGATAAAAATAACATCGATACATACATCATTGATGTTTTGTTCAAATTGTAGTTGATGATGTTTGCATTAATTTACAGTAGCTTATAGTTAATATCGTATGATCGTCTACGTTGTTGTTGATCTATCATTATCATTCTTTTTCCTTGATAGATTTGATGAAATTTTTCATCAATCATATTGATTTATTGATCCGAAAACAGTGAAAGATCTTTGTTTTCGTTCGAAGATAATTTTTTCATTTATCTTGTTCTTGTTGTTGTTGTTGTTGTCATCAACAAATGAATCATTTTGCCCTCAATGTATTTTACGAATATTCGAATCATTTTTGATCATTCCGATTCATAGATGGCGTACATAGTCATTTCGAATGTTTTCGAATATCATCGGGAATGGCCAAAAAAAATCATCATCATTATCATCCATCAATTCACAAAAAAAAACAATTTAAACATCATTATTATTCATCAAATACCAAGTGATAAAGTTCAATGTCAAAATATTATTTTCAAATAATATAATTTGATCATTCTATTGTTGTTTAGTTTTATGCATTTATTCAACAGAAATATTAATGTAAATGTCTTTGTAACGACAATAACCGAAACAAAACAAAACAAAACAAAAAATCAAGTCCATTTATTATATTGTGTTACAAGAAAAATACAAAATAAAAAACTTCAATAATGCATTACAAGATATTTTCGTTTTTAAGTTTTGTTGTTGCAGACTAACTTGAAACTAAAATAGAAAATGGATCGAAAATGGAACGAATAAGAAAAAAAAGAAAGAAAAAGATGAAATCTAAATAAAGAAAAATTGTCTTTGGCCCTTTATCCAATATCGTCTCTCTTCGTTTTGGTCTCAATGGATTTGGATCAATGGATGATTCTTTGAAATGTCAAGTATATAAATGAATCTTTGGCCAAATTTTTTTCTGGGCAAATAAAAATTTTTTGTTGTTGTGTGTGCTTAAAATCCAATTTTTTTCAAACAAAAATCTTTAAACCCATCATAATCATGCAATGGTTTCATCCGATATCAACATTTTCAATTGTGATTATCGTTGTATTATGTATTGTTGTTGATGTTCAATGCGGCAGCGGCAGTGGTGGTCGTGGTCGCAATAATAGATCTCGTCGTAAAAATGGCCGAAATTCCAAAAATCGAAATAATGGATTATATGCGGCTGCCAGTAGTGCCGGTAGTGGATCTTATGGGGGTGGTGGATACGCAGGAGGAGGTGGTGGTGGCATTAGTGGTGGTAATAATGGTGGTGGCGGTGATTATACCGATGGACAAATTCGTGAAGATTATAGCGGTGGTGGTTCACGTAGAGGTGGTGGTACAATAAATGCAGCTGTTTTTTCCAAACAATCATTCGAAACAAAACCAGTTGAAACACCATACGAATCAATGGAACCACAAATTATTGTTGTTGAAGGTGGTGATTTACCTGTAGAAATTATTTTCAAATCATCATCAAGTCGTGTTAAGGTACATCAAGAACATCAAATGTCTGGTGTTAATATGCCTGAATATGATCAATATGAAGAAGAACCACATCGATTAATAACCGAAGTTCGAAAACCAATTATTCAGGTATTTTGAATGAATTTTTTTGTTTTGAAATTTATTTATTTTTTTTTTGTAATTCTATAGGAAGTAAGAGAGATTATAACACCATATAGAAGAGTTATTCAAGAAATTGAACCGGTAAGAGAAGAAATTCATACGGTCGTTTCACAAGGAGAAGGACGATCACAAAATAGTGGGACTTATTCGGATTCTGGTGGTGGAGGATATGGAAATATGGGCGGTGGACAACAAAACAGCTATGGTGGTAATAATAGCAAAGGAAACGGTGGTGGTGCTGGTGGCTATAGTGCAGGAAGAAATATGGGAAGTGGTTACGGTAGTTCAGGAAACATTGGCGGTGGAAATAGCCGTTCCAGTTACGGTACTACAGGAGGAAATATGGCCAGTGGACATAGTGGCGGTGGTAATTATGGTTCTACAGGAGGAAATATGGCCAATGGTTATGGTACTAACAATATGATGGGTGGTTTTATGATGAATGGATTTGGTGTTCAACAGCAGCAGCAGCAAAAAATTTATAGAAAAAAATGATTGTAAATTTGTCAAAAAAATTAAACTAAATTAAATTAAGTGATGATAATCATCAACCTAGATTTTCAAGATTTTTTATTTTGTATTCCAAAAATGACAATTTCGTGAAGCAAACAAAATATCGAAAAAACCGAAACAATGTTGAAAAAATAATGTCCTTGACATTTCTTTGAAAAACGAAATGAAATTCAAACAGAGAAGAAGAGGAAAAAAATGTCACGTTATATAAATGAGTAATCTGATATCATCATCGTCGTTTTTTTTAACCAAATTATTTTTATGAATAAAAATATTACAAAGAAAAATTTTTTTTGAAAAAGCAAAAGTGAGAGAAAGAAAGATATCATTTTTGATGATCACAAAAAAATGTCAAAAAAAACAAGAATGGTGTATTTTTTGGGAAAATTTTCTCAAGGTTTTTGTTTTTTACTTTGATACATTCGATTGATTGATTTTGTTTTTATTCGCAATTTCCCTTCCAATAACGATGATGATGATTTTTGTTGTGTGTTTGTGTATGCAACAACACCGACAAATGAATAATCAAACATATTTTCCGGTAAATTTGATTTCGATGATAAGAAATTCTTCTTTTTTTTGGAGGGAAGTTTGGAGGGAAAAAATTTTTCAGGAAAAACGTTGCTGTAAAGCTTTCCACATTGAACCTGGACGTGTTTGATGTCGTTCGATTAATTCTTCCATTTTTTTGGCCGTCTTTATTTGAAAGAAAAAAAGATTTGTTTTTGATTTTTTTTTTGTTCAAAGAATAAAAATTTCTAATTGAAATTACCAATTCAGCAATTTCAGCTACTGTCATTTCTGGTGGAAAATGAATCGGTTCACCAATTATGGTGGTCAATTTAACTGGTAAACCACCAAATGGCCAAAATATTGGTATTTTATAACGATCATAAATTTGACGACATAACCAACGTGGTAAAATTGGTAAACAACGAAATGATTCACGTGAATTTTTTGTAAATACAGGTATTATTGGTACATTTGTACGGCGTGCAATACGTGCAAAACCATAACGATTATTCCATATTAGCTGATAATTTTCATCACTAAACATGGCTGATTGATACAGAAAACAATAATTCAAAAGACGCTAACGAATAAAAATCAATCAAAAATACCTTCACGTAAACCACCAGGTGCTAATAAAAGCATATTACCACGATTAATAATATCAACACAATCATCAATTGTACCAGGTGTTATACATAAAACATTTAAAAATAATGACCAACCAGGTACCATTGTTACAATACGATCAATAATTGTATAAAATTTACGTTTTTGTATTGAAAATATTTTAGCAATTATATAATAAATATCATTCGGTAATGTTGAATGATAAAATACTAGAATGGCTGAACCATTTTTGGGTATTCTTTCGTAACCGATAATTTCATAACCATGCCATATACGGCCAACAATGTTGAAAATTTCTATATTTTTTTTAAAAAAAAACAAAACAAAAAATTAGTTATTTTTTCTCAGAACAAATTCATCATAAAACACTCAACTGGCTATTAATAAAGCCGGTCGCATCCATTGTTGATAATGTTCATCATCATTATTGAATACTGATTGATTTTCACCATTATCCATAAAACAATGATAATAATATGGATTCAATATTAAACGATAAAAATGTAATATTAAACTACATAAATAAAACATTAAAACATAAATGAATGGTGTTGTTAACATTATAATTATAAATGAAATAATTATCCATTTGATAAGATAATTTATTCCGATAAAATCAATTTGTTGTAAATTATTGAAAATTATTGAATCGATTAGCATTTTTTTTGTTGTTGTTGGAATTTCTCAATCAATCAATTAACTGGAAAAAACAATTTTTTCAAAATGACCAATGATTTTTTTGAAATTTTTTAACAAATCAATCGATTTTTGTTTAAATAAAATTTATTCATAATTTTGTCGTTATCGATTAGAGAGGTTTTTGTTTTATTGAAAGGAAATCTTTCTGTTTATGTGTGTCGGTGTCACATATTTTAATTTGATTTTATCATCATTTTCAAAAGTGAATGAAAAAATCTCAGTGTGTGTGCGTGTTTGTGTTAAATTTAGATTTCATTTCACATCCGTCCTTTTCTATTTAATTATGTCGTTGAGATGAATGTTGATTGTTGATTGTGTTTTTGGTGGCAAAATAATTCCGGAAAATTTCTCCCCTAGTTTTTTTTTGATTTTCTTTAACAAAAACGTTGTCGTAAAGCTTTCCACATTGAACCTGGTCGTGTTTGATGTCGTTCGATTAATTCTTTCATTTTTTTGGCCGTCTTTTTTTTAAAAAATGGTTGGATGTAAAAACAAAAAATTTAAATTTAAAAATTTTAAAATCCAAAAATAAATTACCAATTCAGCAATTTCGGTGACTGACATTTCCGGCGGAAAATAAATCGGTTCACCAATTATAGTGGTCATTTTAACCGGTAAACCACCATATGGCAAAAATAATGGAATTTTATATTGATCATAAATTTTACGAAAAAATTCCTGAAACAATGGTAAACAACGAAATGCTTCACGTGAATTTTTAGTAAATACCGGTATTATTGGTACGTTTGCTTCTTTTGCAACACTGGCAAAACCTTGTCTACCCGACCAAATTAGCTGATAATTATTATCACCAAACATTGCTGCATTTTTTTTTGAAAAAAATAGATTTTTTAGATTTTTGAAATTTTTTTTTCATGAATTTCAACAAACCTTCACGTAAACCACCGGGTGATAAGGCTATTAATCGATTTTGTTTTAATAATTGAACACAATCTTTTCGAGTGCCGGGTATTGATTGTAAAGCATTTAATAATAATGACCAACCAGGTATATAAAATAATAAACGATCAGTAATTGTAAAAATTTTTCTTTTTTTATCCAAAAATATACGACATAATAAATAATGATAATCATTTGGTATTGTTGAATGATAAAAAACAATAATAGCCGGTCCATTATCAGGAATATTATTCATATTGATTATATCATAACCATGCCACCAACGACCAACTGTTGTTAGTAATTCTTTTGGTTTGTTTTTGTGAGTTAGATTGAATCGGACAACAAGGTAAGGTAAGGTTAGATAAAAAAATAATGAATATTAACTACTACATACTAGCAACTGTTTGAACAGGTTGATTCCAATATTTCCAATGTTCATTAAAATCTAAATTTTTCCCCGTTGATTTATCAATAATTGGTAATTGATAATAAAATTTATATAAATGAAGTATAAATGACATTAGATAAAATAAAAAAACAAAAATTAATGGTGAAAAGAATGTAAATATTATCGGTATTAATATGATTTGATGAAGATTATTAATGATAAAATCCATGATGATGGTCATTATCGTCATGATTTTTTTTTAAAATTAGATTTGCGAAACAATGTTGATCATGAAATGAAAATTTTCATTTCAAATATTCAAATGTTTTATATTGATTTTTTTTCTGTTTTTTTTTTGTTTTTGTTTTTGTTTTCTGTTTTTCCCTCATTCTTTCATTCAATATGATTTTTCATTTGAATTGGATTTTTTTTTTGTTTCTTTTTCGGTTGGTAATTTCAGCATTTCAATTGATCATGACATTACGATAGACAAAAGCGACGAGATTGACGTAATGTTTTCCGAATATTTCCGTTCGTAATTGTTTCATGAAAATTTCCCTGTGCAATCAATTTTTTTTGCCATAACAAAATTCATTTCGTTTTGGTGATCAGGTTTATTGATTGATTCGGTTCGATCACGATGATGATGTTTAAAGTGATTTGTAAAAAAAATTTGCAATAAGGTAAGTATTTTAATTTAATTAATTGAAAAATATATTAATGATAATTAAGCAAAAAAAATGTTTAAATTCTGACATTTTTTCTCGTTTAATTTTTCTTATTTTCCCCATCAGTACGATCCATTTGAAATCTTTCCTTCATTGCCAACCATATTGAACCGGGTATTGTTTGATTTTGTTCAATCAATTCTTTCATTTTTAATCTTGTCTATTGAAATCAAAGAAAAACAGTCAGTGTTCTTGGCAAAGAAAATAACAATTTACCATTTCAGCAATATCTTCAACACTTGTATCTGGTTGAAAATAAATTGGTTTACCAATAATTGTTGTTAATTTTACTGGAAAACCACCATATGTAAGAAATAATGGTATACGATAATGATTATAAATAAATTTAACAAAATTTTTCATTAATGGTACTTGACGAAATGATTCACGTATATTACGTGTAAATATTGGTATTATTGGAACATTTGTCTGTTTTGCAACACGTGCAAAACCTAATCGGCCAGAATGTATAATTTCATAGCGATGATGATCGCTAAACATTGCTAATAATAATAATGATTATTAGGCAGACGATTCCTTAATTTTTTTTACTGCTTACCTTCACGTAAGCCACCAGGTGACAGAGCAACAATTGAACCATTATTTAACATTTGTATACATTCTGGAACTGATCCTGGAACTAAACGTATTGTACGTAATAATAATGGCCAACCAGGAAATTTATACATAATACGTTCAACAATTGTAAACATTAAACGTTTTTTTCGTTTATTTTTTAATAAAATTAATTCCGAAATTAAAAAATAAATATCTAATGGCCATGTACCATGATAAAATACAATTAATGCTGATGATCCTTGTTCAGGTAGATTATCCAAACCAATAATTTCATAATTATACCATAAACGACCAAATGTAGAGAATATTAATGCAATTGCATTGAATGTACGATACCATATTTTAATATGTAATGATTCAGATCTCATAATAATATCAATATCATTATCGTTATTAATATTATTATTATCGATTAATCGATAACAATAACAATGTATCCATATTATTATCAATGATATATAGAATAATAATATAAAAAATAATGGTGATGCTATCGATAGCTAAAAATTTTCGGATGTTTGGGAAGGTAAATGAATGAAATTTTAATTTAGAAAAATTATTAAAAATAAGTAATTCAATAAACATACAATTACAGGTATCGAAATGATTGATAAAATTGATTGCGAATCCATAATTAATCAATTGAATATTTTGTTTTTTTGGTTGCACAAATATCAAAAATCATCAAAAATCAATGATGAAAAACGAAACATAACTGATTTTTGTTTGTTTTTGTTTTTGTTTTTTTTTCCCATTTAGCTCACAACGAATTTCCTTTCACATAAACACACACAGAATTTTTTTTTCGAAATCAATACAACAAAGGAAATACTAAAATCCTGTCATCACAGGATTGATTTATCAACCAGAAAAAACAAAAATCTGTGTTTAAATTTTTTTTTTGAAAATTGATAAATTTATACAAAGAAAGTTTCAAAATTTCATATTTTTTTTATTAAATGGCAAGCAACGTATAAAAAAGATTTTCTCATTTAAATTGATTCTTGTTTTCTGAAGAATTCTTTAATCATCATTATCATTTACTGATCTCTCAAACAGCATCATCATTATCATTTGGATGGCCGAACAGAAAGAAGAAGAAGAAGAAAACAACAACAACAACAATATTTTCTGTTTCAGGAATTTTGTTTCTCTCTCTCTCTCTTCTCCAACCACTCTCTTCATTCAAAGATTATTTGGATCAAAGAATTTGTTTTTTGTTGTTGTTGTTGTTAAATTACATCATTTCATTTCATTTTTTTCTACAAAAGCTTCAAAGGTTCCATCATCATTATCATTATCATCATCCAGTATTAATCCTCTACTCTCTTTCTCTTTGGGTGATGATGGAACTCATAAAAAAAACAAGGGAATTACAAAAAACAGACCGAAAAAACAAGACAACCATGATAATGATGAACAACTTGAAAAAGTGAAGACGAAGTGATAGAACAGAATCCGAATATAGAATTCGATTTGAGTCGTCTCTGTTTCGGCATGCATTTTCTGACGATTCTTCGTCGTTGAAAACAAATAATTCATTCGTTTTTGGTTTTGCTATCGAATCGGTTGTCGGTGTTTTTTCTTTCTAGAAAATTTTTCCTTTCGAAAAAAAACTTTTCCACAAAAACTTACCGGAATTGAAACTTTGACATTACTTTCCATCAATTATCAATTGATTCTAATCAATGGTAAACTCTCTTCAAATGTGTTTATCCGACTCTCTTCAATGTGTGTGTGTTTTTATGTAAATATTTTTTTTTTTGTTGTAATAAACAAAACTGAACAGTGAAAATTTGTTTATTCTTTTAATAACTTTTTTTTTGTTTTGTTTGCATTAGTCAATTTGTTTGGGCTGTAATGAGAATTTTTTTTATCCATATTTGAATATCTGATTACCAGGAGAAAAAACCTGATAGAATATTGAATTCTTTGAACAACACAAGAATAATTTGTTTGTTTGTTGAATTATAATTTGAATTTACAACCTGGTTTTGTTTTGTTTTGTTTTGTTTTGTTACATGTTTTTTGTTCCGAATTTATCGTGTAAACATCATCATCATCATCAAAGTTTGTTTTTGACTAATGTTTCATTATCATCATAAGTAAGTTGAGAAAATTTCCTGGAAATTTTTTTTCCCGAAAATTTTACCTTACCTCATTATAATTGGATAATTCTTTTTTATTTTATTAATTAATAAATAATTTTTAATTACAAAAATAATTATAAACACACACACAGACAGAAAATAATCATGAATTTATCTCACATTTATAAATCTGATAAAAATAAATAAATCGATAAATTTCTTTGATTTAATTATCTGATGATGGTGGTGATTTATTCCAATTGATGTGTAAATAGCAATTATAATTTACATATGTGTTTACCGAATGTGTTTCTTGTTTTTTTATTACTTTTGTGGAAATAGAAAAAACAAAACAACAATAATGAATAACAAAAACAAACAAACAAACGAAAAAAAATTCCATAAACATTCCAAGCAAATAACAAAAAAAAACGAAAATACCAGACAAACAGACAAACAATAATCATCATCATTATCATCATTGTCGTCGTCAAGGAATAAAAATTTTCTCGAATGGAATTCAATTATTTCATCGGTAAAATGAATAAATTTCTGTGATTCTTTCAAAGAATTCTTACTCGAAGAATCGAAAAAAAAATAACAAATCCAAATGAATGATAATTATTTCGAATGTTTCTTTCTGGATTTCTTTCTCTTTGAACATTGAATCTATTTCTATTTTGGTTCAAAATTAACATCATCATTTTGGAACAAACACAAACCGAAAAAAAGAGGAAAAAAATCAAAGATTTTTTTTTCGATTTAGTCATCACTATGACGACAGCTAGGATTTTTTTTTCATTCAATCTCCCCCAGTCTCTCTCTCTCTCTCTCTCTCTCTCTCTCTCTCTCTCTCTCTTTCCCGATTCGATTTTCATTATTTGCGGAAATTCATTTCATTCGAATCAATTTTCTATCGATTTCTTTTTTTNAGCTAGGATTTTTTTTCATTCCTTCCCCCCCACTCTCTCTCTCTCTCTCTCTCTCTCTCTCTCTCTCTCTCTCTCTTTCCCGATTCGATTTTCATTATTTGCGGAAATTCATTTCATTCGAATCAATTTTCTATCGATTTCTTTTTTTTTTGTTTTTACAGAATTCGAAATGAATTAATCAAAAAAGGAGAAGAAGGAATCTCTGACGATTTAATTCAATGTTTGGATTGAAATGTGTAACTAATGTCTCTCTGTGTGTGTGTGTGTATGTGATCCATTTCAAGTCCGTTTTTATTTTCATTTGATAACATCATCAACAACAACAGTAACAGATCAAAGTTATGTAATGAAAAAGTTTAGTTATTCTTCTTTCAAATAATAATAATAATGATGATGCGGATGATGATGATGATGTTTTTGTGTAAAATGAAAATTTTTTTTCAGTTTTTCTCTTCAAAACAGACAAAAACAATAACCATCATCAAATGATGAAAAGTCAGCACATTTTTTCGTTCGTTCGTTTCTTTATTCCATTATTTATTCTGGTCATTGTTTTTCGCATTCGAATGTCGGATGCAAAAGATATTATCATCATCCGGGTTTTTTTTTTGTTTTTCGTTGATTTCATTCAATTCTCATGTGATATTTACAAGTTTTTTCTTGGTTCGATTTCCAAAATGGCTTTACCTTTTGCTTTTTGTTTGTTTGTTTATCAAAAAAATAAACATTTTTTTGTTGTTGTCTTCTTTAAAAGCATTTCATTTTTAATGAGAAACTTTTCAACAAAACAAAAAAGTTTCCGAAAGTTTACTGATAAAATTTTTTCCATACTAATGTTTTCGAGAAACTTTTTTTAATATTCTACTAATGTTTTCAATTCAGGTTAACTGATAAACATCCTGTCAAAGAAAAAAACATTACGGTTGGTTTGTCGAATAAAAAACAGATTTCGGGTATCGATATTATCATCATCATCATCATTATCGGGCCAGGAAATGATTGATGAAAATTTGCTTTTTAATAATTTTCAACCAACAACAACCAAAAAAGAAAAAAGAAAAATTCACGATGATAATGGTCGGTGAATAATCGAAAATATTTGTCATTTGGGTTTCTCGGTTTTTTTCTGGTTTATGATAATCACCAGTTTGTTTGAATCGTGTTTGTTTTTTTTTTTGTCGCTTTTCTTGGAAATTTTCTTGCATAAATTTTGCTGCCTGATCAATCAATCAATTCGGATGATCAATACTTTTGTCATCGGAATATCATCTAATTATAGAATATTCTTTTTTCTTCTGTTTCTGTATTATTGGACATTTGATTTATTTTTCATGACCAAACAACTTAGAGAAGATTCTCTCAACAACTCTGAAAAAAATTGAAAGTTTTCAAGTGTCCAATTTAAATGCAATTTCTTGTTCTACACACACACTATCCATCTCTATTATTTTTATGATGATGTTTTCTGGAAAGTTTCTGGCCTCTTTTTTTCTCTTTTTCAAATGAACAACAACAATTCAACACCGAATCACTACCCAACTATGATGATGATGATTTCAAGTTTGGCGAACAAACAAAAACTTGAAATGATAATGGTTGATCAATGACATTTTCAAGTGAAAACAAAAAATAATAATAAATTGAGTTCAGTCATTCAGGGTTAAGTGAAGAGAATTTTTAAACAAAATAAAAATAAATCATGTTTGGCCTGCGAATTGTAGACCAATTTTGGATCGATAATGGATATCGTTTGTTTTTTTCTTCTTTCATGCCATCATATTACCTTTTTTCTTCCACTGATTTTTAATTTGATTTTTAATTGTAATTCGGATCGATTTTTTTTTGTAATTGAAATGGATTCCGGATGATTTTGGAAATCGGAAAAAAATTCTTTTCTATCGAAAAAAAAGAAACCATAGTTATTCTTTTGAAAAAATGATTACGTTTCTGTTTTTTTTTTGTTTTCAAATTCTTCAAACTTGAAAAATTTGAGAAAATTCTTGACCGAACAAAAAACAAGAACATAAATTCCATTGAATAGAATTTTTATCATGAGGAAATATTTTCGAAAAGAAAAAATTCTCTTTCCTGGGAAAATTTTCCATTTCCAACATCATCATCATTCATTGGACCCCAAACACAAGAGACAGAAAGAAAAAACAAAAAAGTTTTTTCGTTATTTCGTTTTGTTCTGTTGTTTGTTTATCTTTCATCTCATGATAATTTCATGATAATATTAATAATTTTCATAATAACCATCTCTAGTGGTTTTACTTTTAGGTTTCATTCGATTCAATTCAATCCACTCGGTCAAAGTCAAGTCGGTGGGCTGGACCAAACAAATTTATTATCATCAACTTGAAAATAATCATCATCATTTTTAATCATTTTGATAATAAATAAAAATATCAAGTTTTGGTTTTTGTTTTTCGCCATTATCATTATCATTATCATTGCGACCACATTTATCACTTACAGCCAACCAATAAAACACTGCAGTTTCACACTATACTGGAACTGTTTGCTGATTTGTTTTTTTTTCGCCTGCCAATTCCAAGTTTTTTTTTTGGCCAGTTTCAAAGTTGTCAACTAAGATGATATCGAAAAGGC